ATTTAAATAAAATCTTTATTTTCTATAATTATTTATTATCTTATTACTATTAAATTTTATATTAAATATATAAAGAATATTATTAAAATAAATAAAATATATAATTAATAAAAAATAATCTAATAAAAGATTTAAGAAAATAATATAATTTATAGATAATAAATTAATTATATAAGACTTTAATATTATTTATATTTATTTAAAATATAATAATTATAATAATCTTATTAAAATTAAAGATTTTAATAAAGAATCGATTAAAATAATAATTAATTTTATTAAAGATTAAATTAATAATTTTATAAATAATTTAATTTAAATAATTAAAAATAATCTAAATAATTAAATTATAATTTAATTAAATATTTTAGATTTTAATATAAATCTTATTAAAGATAATAAGATTATATAAAAATTATATAATAAAATAAATAAAAAAGATAATAATATCTTATATTTTATTAAAGAAAATTAATATAAATTATATAAAAAAAATAATATTTTAATATATAAAATTATAATTTTATTAATTTTTATTAAATATAAAAAATATAATAAATAAAAAATTAATATTATTAATTATATAAAAGATCTTAATTTAATTAAAATTTTAATATTAATATTTTTAAATAAAAATATATTAAAAAAAAAAATAAGATAATCTTATTATATTTTTTTTTCTTTTAAAGATTTTATAAAGATTTTTAATTTTTAGATTATATAAATTTTATTTTAAATAATAATTAATTTAAATAAATAAATAAATAAATTTATAAAAAAATTTATTTTTTTATTTAAAAAGATTTAAATAATTTTTAATAAATATTTTTAATTTTATATTTTTATTAATTATATTATTTTATATTATTTTTTTTATATTTAATAAAACTTATAAAAAAATTAAATAAAAAAAATAATTTATAAAAAATTTTAATTATTAAAAAAAGAAAAATAAATAAAAAAGATAATTTATAAAAAATTTTAATTATTAAAAAAAGAAAGATTTATAAATAAAAAAGATTTTAATAAAATATAATAAATAAATAAAAGAGTAATAATTTTATTTTATATATATTTAATATATAAAAGAGTTTTATTAATTTCTTAAAGTTTTTTCTATATTATTTTATAATTATCTTTATAAGAAAAAATATTTTAATAATTTTTAATAATAATAATAAGATTCTTTTAGATTTTTAAATATATATTAATTCTTTTTTTTTAAATATTTATTTTTTATTATAATCTTAAATTTAAAATTATTATTTTAAATAATATTTTAAAGATTTTTATTTAATATATCTTAAATATCTTTAATAAAATATTAAAGATCTTTATATAATTTATTTTAACTATTTTAAAGATTCTTTTTTATTTTAAATATTTTTAAATATCTTTTTTTTATATTATTTAATTTAATTATAAAGTTTTATAAAATAATAATTATAAAATAATATTTATAAATATATTTAACTTTTTAAAAAACTTTATAATTATAATTTAAAATATAAAATATATTATTATTTATATAATATTTTAATATAATTTTATATTATTTTAAATTATTTAAGAAAGATTAAATTATAATAAAATTATTATTAATTTTAATATTTTTATTAGTTTTTATTATATCTTATAGAATAGTCTTATCGATTTATATTATTTTTTTTATTTCTTTTTTTTTTCTTATTAAATTTTTATTTTTAGATTTTAAAGAAAAAATAATATTTATATTAAAAAAAATTAGATAATATTTAAATTATTAATTAAAATATTAAGAAATCTATTTATTTTATATATAAGTAAAATAAATATATTATTTTTAATTATAAATATTATTTTTTAATTAGATTATTTATATCGATAAATTTAGTTTATTTATTTCTATTAAAGAAAATCTAATAATCTAAATATAAATCTTATTAAATTTAAATATATTTTTTTTAATAGAAAATAAAATAATTATCTTATTAAATTATAAATTTTTATTTATTTATTTTTTTATAAATAAGATTTTAAAATCTTTTAAATAAATTAATTTAAAATATTTTTTTTTATTTAAATTTATTTTTAAATTATGATAGATAATTTTATTTTATAATTTTTTATATATTATTTATAAGATATAAAAATAATAATAAAAAATCTTTTAATCTAATTTTTAAATAATATTAATTATATATATCTTTATAAATAAATAATTAATTATTATTATTTTTAATTTAAATTTATAATTTTCTTTAAGTCTTTTAAATTATTATATTAATAATAATAATAATTTAATATTTATTAATATAAAATTAATTAAAGTTTTTTTTCTTATTATAAGATTAAATATAAATAAAATATATAAATAGACTTTTTTAATTATATCTATAATAAATTTTAAAGTTTAAAAGGTTTTTTTTATCTTTTTTTTTTTTCTTAAAATAATTAAAATTAATTTTAAATTAATTAATTTTAAATTTAATATATAAAATATTTTTTTTATTTAAATTTATTTTTATTCTAATATAATATATTAAATCTAGATAAAATATAATTATATTTAAATTTAAAAATTAATCTAATTATTATTTAATATAAAAATATATTAATTATATATAATAATATATATTATTATTTTTAATAATAAGATTTATAAAATTTTAATCTCTATAATTAATAATTAATTTAATCTAAAATTAAATACTCTTTTAAAAACTTATATATTTCTAAGATATTTTATTTAAAATCTTATTTATAATATTTTAGATATATTTCTTTATTATTAAATTATTTTTACTAATTAGATATTATAAACTCTTATTAGAATCTTAATAAAATCTATTTATAATATAAGAATCTTAATAAAATCTATTTATAATATAAGAATCTTAATAAAAGATATTTATAATATTCTTAAAAAAATATCTTTTAAAAATTAATAATTTAAAATAAATATTAATCTATAATAAATAATTTATAATTTTTATAAATATAAGATATATAAGTTTATATTAATATTTATTATTAATTATTATAATTATATAATATTATAAATTAAGATAATATATATTTATATTTATTTTATATTTATAATTAAATTTTAATTAAGAATCTTTATTTATTTATTTTTTATATAATAATATATTAATTTATTTAATTTTTCTTATCTTATTTTTAGATTAAAATATAAAGATATATTTAAAATATTAAATCTCTTTAATAAAATCTATATTTAATTTATATATTTAGTTTTTATTAAATTATAATTAATTATTTTTAAAATAATTAAACTTTTCTTTAATAAGATAATAATCTATATTACTTTTTAAATAATATATATAATAAAGAAGATCGATACTTCTTACTAAAAGATTAGATATTCTTATTAATTATAATAGATAATAATAAGAATAAATAAGATTCTATAGGAAAAGAATATATTTCTTTTATACCGTGTCTAGTTCGCGGTTCGTATTTCTCTAGTTTTAATATTATATAGTAAAGAATAAAGGTTTCCCTACTGAATCTATCGATTCTTTTACGAATCGGTTAAATAAATATAACTCAATTTAATATGTATATAAAGAATCGTACGAATCGGTTGCGTTTCTTTTTTTATATATAAAATTTATTTTAACTACAAATTTTTAAATACAATTCAGATTTTAGCGCGTGCGCGCGCTAAAATCTTCATACTGGTTTTGTGCACATTTTTTTAAAAAAGCTATCAAAAAAGGCTGGGAAAGTACCTTTATGCAAGTTTTTCGGCCGCGTAGCCTAGACCTGACATTGGAGTCTCCACTTTGGGTCTTTTTCTTTTGGGGTCCTCTGACAAAACATTTGATTGATGCTATCTTCGGAATTCTCGGTATCGCCGATTACAAGAGAGAGAAGAGAGAGCGTTGTGAAGAAAACTTTGTTGTTGTTTGTGCGCACGCGCAGGAAATCGGTCATGATTCGGTTCCGGAAAAGAAGGGCAGGCATTTAAGGAACAGAAAGGGTATGATGCATAAGCTGTGCATAAGCAAGCTTCTCTCTCTCAAAAGGCCAAGGCAAAAGAGAGAGCCGCGGATGAACGATTGCAATTTAGCGTATTAGCCTGTGAACAATACACATAGAAATGCTGCCGCACTCTGCACCCGTTTAAACTGACATTGCATTTGAAGTTTTAATGACACACACACATTAGTGTCCTCCAAGAGGCAAGTCAACGGGGACAAAAAAAAGAAAGAAAAAAGACTTTGACAATGCTATGATCATTGCTTTCTCCTACACACGATCCGATTGTTTTTCCGCTCGTTTAGCCAAGAGGATGGAATTAATCCGACTTTAATCCTTTGCAAAGAAAAACACGGTTCAGGAACATCCGTCATTTAAAACAACAGGTAAATGAACCTTTGGTGGAGGAATTGACAAAAGCTCTGATCCGAAGGATAAAATTAATTGCCGCAACTTCTACCTTCAACAAAAAAAGAACGGCTAACAGCAATCCGTAAACCTATTCACTGGAATACGGACCGGCAGCGAAAACACACAGGAAGTGTGTACGTCGTCGTCCGGGGTTGATATATGCAAAGGCGTCGTACACTTTCTTTACGCCGATTCTAAAGAACAACAACAACAACGACGCATACAATCGTGCATCACTATAAATACCCTACTGATTCGGCTTCACCCTCAAAAATGAGTGCAACTTCATCCCCCAAACATTCACCAGCAATGTTATTGGCATCTTCACATTACGGACATGGTCATAGCCATAACATCAAAACACCCAAACATGGCAGTCCACGTATGGTCACGATGGGATTGTCTGGCGGTGCAACAACGATGCCATCTTCTTCCTCCAGTTTGATAATCGATAATCAGGGACAGGCGCATGATCCAGGGTATTTGGATGCACTACGTCAACTTCATGCAAAGATCGGAGAGGATGCGATGGGTAATGGCAGAGGAAAGAGAAGGCAATCATCTACACATGCACCTATCAGACCATCAGCATTAGGGCTAGGTTTGTCATCCAATATGGCCAATATGGATCTGAGCACAGATTCAAGCGACGATGACGACGATGATGAAGAAGACTTGGATTCGTATGCATCCTTGTTTGAAGAGGCAAGAAAGAAGGATGCAGAGATACAGAGGCGTAATTCGATGGCTGCTTATTCAGCTGCTCAATCAGCATACAATTCACCTACCCTTCGACCTATCAATCACAACGGCACTTCACCTCTGTCCACACCAGCATTCTCGGGGAGTGGACACATTTCTCCACGCAGAGGCAGTCAAACAGGAACGAGTTCTTCACCGCAATTCTTGCAGAACAGTCATTTGAACTCTTCATCTACCGGACACACACCTCCTTCTGCAAATACGATTTCTGGTCTTGGCGGTGGTGGTGGCGGAGGCAGAAAAGGAAGTATCTCAAACGGCGTGAATTCCTTAGGTGTAAGTCTGCGCTCGAAAAGTCCTTCTCTACGAAAGAAGTTGAGCAATGTTACCACGCCAAGGAAAGCATCTTCACGTAGTAGACCATCCAGTTCCAGTTCGGCCCATCAACCGTTTGGCAGTGGATCTATTCATGGAACACCGTCTACCCTGGATACACTCAATGCAGGCGTGCTTGAACGGCCTCGTGAGTACATCACTGCTGATAATGATCGAAGTGGGCTGAGCACGATCGAGAGTGGAAGACCGTTAGGGATGGATGAGCTGCACAAGCCTGCTTCCAGTCACGATTCACGATCAGAGTCAGGCAGTCATACGTCAGCACGTAAGACTTCCGTTGCCCAATCTTTGCCTGGTTCACGTACGAGTATGAGTTCACTTACCCGAGACAAATTGGAAGCCGAATTTCTGCAACAACAAGAAGAAGCGGATTTCTTGGTAGGTCCATCACACCTAAAAGAAGGTTTGGATACCATTCGAAAGAAAGGACATGAACTTGGCGACTTAGGCACGCAAACACATGATTTTCGTAGAAAGATGGACATCTTTACTATGGGTTTGCGATTTAACGCATTCAAAGCTAAACGTAAACTTGAACGTGGTTTCAAACATCATGAGACATGAACAATTGTATATATAACACAGCCGCTGCCACCGCCGCCGCCGCCGTCGTCTTTCACATTTTGTATCAATAGCAAATAGCACATTGGTTTGTTCTTTCTTGTCCAGTTTGTCTCTGTTGACTCTTGTCACCATGCCTGCTTTGATAGATTCTGAGGTTTGGTCAGCTGTCCATATAGCACATTGATCTGAATCTTTTGTCCAGTTTCTCTCAGTTGACTCTCGTCACCTTGCCTGCTTTGACAAACCTAAGGGTCGCTCAGGTGTCTATATAGCACGTTGTCTTAAATCTTTTGTACAGTCCTTTTCAGTTGACTCTCATCACCGTATCTACATTGGTAGTTTCTAATGGTCGGCCAGGTATCTATATAGCACGTTGTGTTAAATCTTTTGTCTGATTTCTCTCAATTGACTCTCGTCGCCTTACCTGCTTTGAAACTTTTTACGGTTCGGTCCGATGTCTAGATAGCATATTGGTAGAATCTTTTATCCTGTCCGTCTCTGTTGACTCTCGTCGCCTTGTCTGCTTTTTTGAGGGAACGGATCGGTGTTCATACATCAGGTCATCTCATTAGGAGCTACTTTAGGTGTCTCAACTATAGCGATCCATTAGAAAGATAGATATCTTTACTATAGGCTTGCGGTTTAAAACATTCCAAGCTAAACGTAAACTTAAACGTGGTTTCAAACATCATGAAACATGAACAATTGTATATATAACACAGCCGCTGCCGTCGTCTTTCACACTTTGTATCAATAGCATATAGCACATTGGTTTGTTTTTCTTGACCAGTTTCTCTCTGTTGACTCTTGTCACTTTTCCTGCTTTGACATTTTCTAAGGTTCGGTCAGGCGTCTATATAGCACACAGGTTTAAATCTTTTATCCTATCCATCACTGTTGATTCTCGTCGCCTTATCTGCTTTTCTAAGGGAACGGCTAGGTGTCAATACATCAGGACACTTCATTAGGAGCTAATTTAGGTGTCACGGCGACAGCAATACTTTTCAATAGTATATAGCATATTGACTTAAACTTTTTGTTCAGTTTCTCTTAGTTGACTCTGGTCGCCTTGCCTGCCTTGATGATTTCTAAGGATCGGTCAGGTGAATATATAGCATACTGATTTGAATCTTTTGTCTAATTTCTCTCAGTTGACCCTTGTCACCTTTCCTGCTTTGGTAGGTTCTATGGAACAGCTCGGTGTCCGTATGATAGGATAAGTCATTGCTGGAGCTAATCTAAGGGTCTCGACGATAGCGACACTCTTTGATACCGTATGGACGGGCTGATTAGCTTGGTGTGTCGTTCGAACTCTGCATGGTTGTGTACATGTGTTACCTCCTTTGGTCCAATACGCCTGTTCGAAAAAGAATAATTCGACACATATCACTGAGAAAGGACTTGTAGATGTTATAGTTTCCAGTACTTAAAGTCTTGGCCAGTTGTATGCCACGTTGGAATTTGCTTCCCACCAACTCTCTCTATCAGCAACAAGAATATACCTTACTCGCTATCATGTCAGCCACAGCCGCAAAGCCATTTCGAACGATAGCCCCACGGCCTTACTCTTATGATCAAACTACGTAATATACTGAAAATGATTTGCAACAATTTGCTTACCTTCAACATTCTGGTCTAGTCGTCCCTCAACACGGACTATCATTCATGGCGCATTGCATGAAGTCCATCGCAAAGAGTGTCCTTTATTTCTCACACAGAATTTCCGAGCTCTTTGACACATTTCATTGCTTCCATACAATCACCGTGTCAGGATTTTGTGTGTTGCATCTACAATAATTTTATGTTCTACCTCATGTATCCTTCCTTCAAGTTCTTCCAACGTTTCCCCTTTACGACATTCAACTTCTTGTACTACAATTGGCGCTCCTCTATCCACTTCTGCGATCACTTCATGTACCATCACACCCGTCTTTCCATCCTTCAATTCTCCCGCGGCAAATGCATCATGTGCTCGTTTGATCGCTTCGATTCCGTCAAATTGTCCTGGAAGTGCTGGATGCAGGTTGATGCAAGGGACGCCATCCAAGACTGCGAGGAACTCAGGTGATACGATATGCATGAACCCAGCCAAGATGATAAGATCCGGTTTGGTATATGTTTGTGAGGAAGAAGAAGATGTTGATTCTTGTTGTTCTTTGATCGATTCTGCCGATTTACCTTCCCCTCCAGCCAAAACAGCTTTTGCCAAAACGGCATCATAATCTTGTCTTGATTTTCCGGCATTCTTTCCTTGCCATGTCTTTAAGCTCAAGACGGCCGTTGGTATTCCAACATTTTGTGCTCTTGTAAGACCGTATGCTGCTTTTCGGTTTGAGATAACTTGTGTGACTTCTGCAAGTCCGTTTAATTTGCCTTCTTTTTGCAGTATTGCATCCAATATTGCTTGAAGGTTACTACCTGATCCAGAAATTAGCACAACAACCTTCTTTGGTGCCATATTGTATGAGGTCTGATGGAGGAAGAAGAAGTGTAAGAAGATTCAAATTTTAAGCTAGTCTAACTTTTTTTCTCAAAGGCGTATCCACACTGTGTAAGGCCGACGCTTTGTTCAATCAATGCACAGTCAGACTTGCATCGCGTTTTTTTGATTCTTCCTATAATTGTCCTGACCATCATCATTCCATCGAAAATGTCAGGTCAAGGTGAAGGTTCAGGGAAAGGAAAAAAAAAGAATGACGAAAAGTCAAGAGAAGAAGTCTTAGCCGAAAGAGAAGCTGCAAAAGAAGCCAAAAAGGCAGCCAAATTAGCAAAACAGGCCAAAGCTGCATCGGGAAATAAAAAAGCTGGTGGTAATGAGAACACCCCTGGACAGTCTTCATCTGGATCGAACAGGCAAGGTGGTGGTGGAAGTGGACCTTCAGGCAATGAAGGTGCTGCACATAATTCATCCTCTTCAGGGTCGGGAAGAGGTGGTCCAGCTGCTCCGGGCAATACAGCAAACACACCAAGACCTAGAAGCCAAGCAGGACCTAGTCAATTGCAACCTGGATCACGACCTTCTACAGCCTCAGGACAAGCTGCTCCTGGCAATACGGCCAATACAGCAAGACCTAGAAGCCAAGCAGGACCTAACCAATTGCAACCTGGATCACGACCATCTACAGCCTCAGGACAAGATCGGATAACAGGTCAATCAATTGGTGAGAAAGGATTCGGAGGAGGATCAAATGCAACACCCGCAAAACCTTCAATTTTAGGTGGAATTGCATTATTTGGAAATGTTGCAGTTGCAAAAACTGCTCCTGAAATGAGACAACATATAGTTTCAGCTTCTTATCGTGCACAAATTCATCCTTCCGTTTTGAAAACTTCTCAACATCTTGCTTCTTTTAGTATCGTTGGCGCAGATGCTCGTGCGATCGCGGTATTGAAAGCATTGAGAGACTTTATCGTCGATTATCGTACACCTCCAGGAGCAGTACTCAATCGTGATCTGGTGACCAAATTAGGACCACAGATTGGATTCTTAGTTAATGCAAGACCTTTAGGCGCAAGTGCAGGACATGCAATTCGTTATCTGAAATATGAGATCAGTGTCACTCCAGTAGATCTGGATGAGATTCAATCGAAGAATCACATCGTTTCACGGATCGATCATTTTGTACGGGATCGTATCACATATGCAACCCGTGTCATTGCTACAACTTTGGCATCTGGAAAGCTAAAAAATGGCGCAGTCGTTCTCACATTCGGCAAAAGCAGTGTTGTACAGCAAACTCTAATCGAAGCATGGCAACGCGGAACGCGATTTTCAGTCATTATTGTTGATGCCAGACCGTTGTGTGAAGGTGAGTCACTGTATAAATATCCGTGAGTCATACCCTTACTAACATTCTCTTACATTCTTTCTAGGCCGTAAACTACTGGCAAGCTTAACAGAAGTGGGCATCCCGTGCACCTATGGTTTACTAACAAGTCTAAGCACTTTAGTATCTAGAGCGTCGATTGTTCTGCTAGGAACAGCTTCTCTTCTAGCAAATGGAGCTTTGTATGCCCGTGCGGGAACGGCCCCTTGTGCCATGATGGCCAAAGCCAAAGGTGTGCCGGTGATCGTTTGCTGTGAAACATATAAGTTCAGTGAACGTGTTCAATTGGACGGTTTCGTAGTGAATGAAGCAGGAGATCCAAGTGCAATCTTACGACCAAGACAAATCACAAAGCCATCTTCCACAATTCCAAACGCTGATGCTTTGTCGTTAGAAGATGATCAACAAGGACCTCTAGCTGAAATGATCACCAAGGAAGAATGGGAGAAATCAGACGCTTTAGGCGCTGTAAATCTGTTGTACGACCTCACCCCGCCACGATACGTTACTGCTGTGGCCAGTGAAGTTGGTCTAAGTGGACCGGAAAGTGTTGGTGTGATCTTACGTGACTATAAGAGTGTTTTGTATGGTCAATAGGACCGCCTTAATAATGTCATGCCTTTAATGATTGTTTTCTGATAGCGTTAGATTTTATGCCATTAAACCGAGTTATATCATATACTCTTCCCGCATCTATTCTTCATCTCCATCTCCATCGGTCTGATGTAGTGCGGCTAGAGCTTCACGATTCTTTAGAATTTGTTCCTTCTTTGCTTGAATGGATTGATTTTGACGTCCTTCTAATCCATGGAAGTAGTATCCTACCGCTCCGAAAGCTGTCATTAGAGCAGCATGTCCTCCCAAATCTGTAATGGGAAGCGCAATCATCAGCCAAGAAGTCCATCAATCCTTCTGTATGTGGGACACGCCTACTTACTCTCTAAAACGTTACGACGTTGAATACCCAATGCATAGCATCTTGTTGCGAATCCAAGGCCGGCATAACTCAAAACACTTGTCAACACAGCCATTATTGAAGATTGTGGTCGTGTAGGTGAAGAGGGTGTTGATGGTGTGGTGGTGATTGTGATTGCAATTTCTCGAATTGGAGATGGGCCAGTGTATGCAACACACGCTTTGAGATATTCACGTGCAAGAGTACGCCCATGCCCACGCAACTTGAAGGCGCGTTTCATGCATGCCCGCTAGAAGATGATGTTCATAACTGCCATCACCATCACACAGTGAATTGTATAGTATCATTCTATATCATCACCATCATGTCAGGTGCACAGAGAGGATCAAGGGTTGTTTTTGTTGGCAATATCCCATACGATATGTCAGAAGAACAATTAATTGAAGTTTTTCGTGAAGTTGGAACGGTTGTTGGATTTCGATTGGTTTTTGATCGTGAGACCGGGAAACCAAAAGGATACGGATTTTGTGAATTTGAAGATGGTGAAACTGCTGCTTCGGCAGTTAGAAATTTAAATGAAAAAGAAGTTGGTGGTAGACCGATGAGAATCAGTTTTGCAGATGTTGATCCAATGTTTGAAGGAAGAACAACTTCAATGGGACAGGTTGAAGGTGAAGAACCTTTACAGGCTTCTGGAAGACCTCCTGCGAGAAGAACTATGGGACCACAAGGACAAAATAGACAATCTGGTCCACCACCTCAGCAACCGCAACAGCTGCCGCCTAATCTACCACAAGGACAACAACTACAGCCGGGAATAGGCGCAACGGATGCAATCTCGCAAACATTGGCTGCTTTACCACCAAATCAATTACTTGACATTCTATCACAAATGAAAGGCTTGGCAACAATGAACCCGGATCAAGCTAAAATTCTATTGAACGGTCACCCTCAATTAGCATACGCATTATTCCAAGCTATGTTGATGATGAATGTGGTGGATGGTAGTATTCTAGAGCGAGTTCTTACACAATCTGGTGCATTGGGAGTCCCACCTCAACAAGCACCACCGCAACAGCAATTCCAACAACATCCACCACAAGGACCACCTCATATGGGATACGGACAACCTCCACCATTTGATGGCATGCATTCTGGCCCGTACGGTGGACCTCCTCCCCCTCAACAAGGCGGTCAAGTGAACAATCTTCCGGATGATCAACGTGCTCTATTGGAAGAAGTTCTCAAGCTCACACCTGATCAAATTGCCGCCTTACCACCAGACCAAAGGGAAGGGATTTTGCAACTTAAAGCATCTCTCGGTCAAGTGTAATAATAGTACGTTTCCCTGCTCTCAGCGCATCTCTTGTATACATATCAATCCAAATATAAATGTCACATTTCATTATGTACACATGAGTCATCACAAAACACCTGTTAGAGTGAGAGAACATTGTCAGCCTGATATTTCGAGAAGACAGCTTCACACATATATACTCACCCTTTGTCGATGGAACATCGTCTAGACCTGTTTTTGATACTGCTTCTTTGATAGCTAGTGCCAATGCCTTGAATGCCGATTCGGATCTTTTGAGTCAAGAAGAGGAAGTATTTGTCAGTATCTGCATTTTCAATGGGAGTCCTCCGAATACATACCTGTGATGATCATTGTCGCCACGCAAGCAATCAACGTGCAATGTAACACCTGCAGCCATGGCAAAGCTATGGAAGATATGTGGGATCATCTCACACGAAAGGTCACCAATCTTTTCACGCTTGAGACCTAGTTCAGCGACGCAATAAGGTCTACTTGAAATATCGATCACTGCTCTTGAAAGTGCTTCATCTAATGGAGCATGACCTGTTCCGTATCTCTTGATACCTTTTACAGGACCTAAAGCTTGCTTGAAAGCTTCTCCCAAAGCCAAAGCACAATCTTCTGCTGAATGATGATCGTCTATCCATAGATCTCCATCGCATTTCATCTCTAATGACATTCCACCATGTTTGGCCAAAGCGTGTAACATATGATCGTAAAATCCGATTCCAGTTTTGACATTGATTACTTGAGGAGCGAATGTTGGATGAACATCAAGTGCAAGTGTACATGTGATGTTTGTTTCATTTGTCTTTCGTTGAATTGTTGCTGTTCGAACAGCGAATGCAGTTGTGTTTGTTGCCATCTTTGTGCTATGGTGTTAATATGGGAAGATCTTTGTCCAATCAACTTTGTGTAGATCTGCATGCATACAAATTCTTGACTCAACTTTTAGCCGCTTTAAGTTTGACAAGGGCTTCGGAGTTCGGGTAAGCGTGTTGTTGTTGTTTGTTGTTGTTTTAAAAGCCTTGGCAGCATTCCAACGACGACTTGCGCTCAAGTGACGCGCTGCACTTCCCCAGCTTAAAACTCTGTCCTTCTTTGTCCGAGAAAAAAAGAAAATAAAAAACTGTTTGATCATCCTGTATATGCACAAACATTCCTTTTGCGGGAATCAATCTTCTTCCTTCTATACTATCATCATCTCAGAGGAGGCAATCCCTTACTCCGCTCGAAAGGATGTCTTCCTCCGGTCAAGTTCAACAACGTAAAGGTCATAGACCGCGTGCATCTTCAGTAAGTCAACATATCGATGATTTCAATACCTACGTTGATGGAAATGGACCGCCAAAATCAATCGATGGAACAAATTCAGAAAATCCAGCAGGTCAAATTGCTGAGAATATCAGAAATGCAGTAAATTCAAAAGAAGAGAAACAATCACCAAAGAAAAAGATTAAACCTATCCCATTTCATGAACAAAAATCCAAGGGATTACTCGATGATTTACGTACTTTCAGATGGATGACAGTTCCAGCATCTTCGGCTAAATTGGCAGGTATTGTCATTCTCTTATGGGCAAATTGGCAGGTATTCACGCCAAACGTACCAAATCCGTTCACACCTCTTCTCTTTATCACACATCAGATTCCCATCTCTGAAGTGATCAAATCCAATCCATCTTTGGCTGCTAACAATGACGTGATTCGTTATCAAAAGGGATATGGAGATATTCTCTTCCTTTTGTTTTACATCATCGTCTTTAGCTTCTTACGTCAATCTACCACAATCTACATCTTCAAACCTTTTGCTGCTTGGTGGGGAATAAAGAACGATCGTAAACGTGAACGATTTATGGAACAGGGTTACTCATTCCTTTATTGGGGATCGGCAGGATTGTTTGGTATATATGTGATGTCCTTCCAAGACAGTTGGTGGTATCAAATGGAACATCTTTGGGTCAAGTATCCTCATTGGATGATGAGATCAGAATTGAAGGTGTATTACCTACTTCAATTCAGTTATTGGATGCAACAAGCTTTGGTCATGCTTTTGCGTTTAGAAGCACCGAGGAAGGATTATTATGAATTGATCGCTCATCATCTTGTCACCCTTTGGCTCGTCGGTTGGTCGTATTTGGTCAATTTGACAATGATTGGAACGACCGTTTTCGTTTGCATGGACGTTCCTGATACTTTCTTAGCAGCGGCAAAAGGTCTAAATTATTTGGATTTAAACAACATTGCAACGGCAACCTTTATCGTCTTGATGTTCATTTGGACGTATTTCCGTATTTACCTTTCAGCAGTGACGCTTTATTCGGTTTGGTATCAATTTGACTTGATCCCTCATTTTGCACGAGAATGGAACCCAAGAAAAGGATGGTGGATGATTTGGTGGATGAAATATCAAACGTTTGCACCTCTTTTCCTGCTGTTGCTCCTCAACTTGTTCTGGTACGTTCTCATGTGGCGTGTGATGTACAGAGCAGTTCAAGGCAGTGTAGGCGATGTACGAGAAGATGGAGAATACGACGAAGAGGGGAAAGAGAAATGAGAAACAAACGAACACGATAAAACGATATACCCTTTTCTTCATCTTCACAATTAACAATGCTACTTCTGGACTTGATCCATTGTCTTTTATCACCTGTAAACCTAATCTTATCTCCTGCAACATTCTTATGCGTTTGTGTCTGCTTTGAACCTCCCGAATTCCTTACTCCTTCGGAAACGCGCCCACGCTATCCGGCATCTCTTGGCACGGCACATTGACACTCAAATGTACATCTTCTTCTTTACCCCACCATCATCACAACCTTCTCCAACTTAAAAATGCCGGATCAACTTGAGTCACTCGCACCGGCTAAATCGCCCGATCCAAGCTTGATGCTCAGTCCTTCAGGCAGTCCAAGGGTATTGGTATTAGGTTTCGGTGCCTTGGGTGCTCTTTACAGTTTCTTATTATCAAGAGGTGGTGCGCGAGTGTATGCGGTTGCACGTAGTAATGCCGAAACGGTGAAGAACGAAGGAATAAATATTCATTCACAAAAGCTTGGTAAACATTCTTCTTATAGACCTTTGGATGTGTTTGCATCTGCAGAAGAAGCAAGAACAAAAGTGGAAAATTATGATTATGTTTTGTGTACGGTTAAAATTTGTCCTGAACAACGTGCGACGGGGAAATGGATTAAAGAATTCTTACCAAGTGGAAAAGGTAAATTACGACCGGAATTACCTACTGTTGTTTTTGTGGAAAATGGAATCGGAATCGAAGAAGAACCTTATCAAACTTTATGTCAAGGTGATGAACCGGTTGCTTCTACCATTATTAGCTGTTGTGCATGGTTAGGTGCTACTTTGGTCGATAAAGGAAAAACGGTCGATCATGGAGCATTAGAGCGTTTGGAGATGGGCCTTTACCCATACAGAGAAGCAGGAGAGGATGAAGAATCTCCACAATCATGGCGTGTGACGAAATTGCACGCATTTGCAGAAACATTCAAAGCCGGCGGTGGTGGCTCGGTGGTCATTGTGGGCGATGTTCAAGTGAAGAGATGGGTAAAATGTGAGTATTTGGCAGGAGTTTACGGAGGGAGAAAATGTGCTGACCACTTTCCTCCTTATCAAAATCAGTATTGTGGAACGCAGCTTGGGGTGGTCTTACCACACTGGCACGCCAAACGGTATCTGAGATGTTACAAGAGGATAATCTCGATATTTCTGCAGATCTGGTCCGAAAGATCATGATGGAAGTCGTATCAGTTGCCCGTGCATGTGGATATGGAGAAGATCAATTACCGTCTAGCAGCGTTGATGAAGTGTTTGACTTGACTTATTCGCAAGCACCGCGATTCTTGAAAGATGGCAAAAAACCAAACCTCAAAGAAGATTTCAAACCTTCTCTTTTGGTCGATTTGGAGGCACAAAGACCGATGGAATTGTCTCCAATCATCGGAAATGTCATCCTTAAAGCAAGACAACACAACGTCAACGTTCCACGATTGGAAGTCATCTATGCCGCTTTACGTCCATCGCAGATGCAATTCGTACATCAAGCAGCAGCAAGGGCCTAGAGTTCTATATCTAAAAAGCAAACGCAAAAACGCAATCATGTAAAAGTACATAGCATTTCTTAATACAATCGTCTTATTTGACGATAATCTGTACACGACCCAAATCCCCTTTTAAGATCCGCTTTCGTTCTTCGTAACCTAACTCATCAATTGGCGCTCCGCCAAAAGAGGCAAGATTGATACTGCTATTGCCTCCTTTACCGCTACTGTTCCAACCTCCTATACTGCTATCGCCACCCGTACCGGCAGTAACACGACTGAAACCTGATTGTCCACCTTGTGAACCATTTCGATAACGCGGTAAAGATGGAAAAGCAGTTACAGTTGAAGCAGGTCCTAAAGCGTTCAAAGTACCTGCCCTTTTGTTTGATTGACCTGCAGTCGTACTTGGACCTAAACCCCAAAAGCCAGACATTTGTCCGAATCCACTTTCATCCGGTGCTGCGCCTCCAGTTGAGGTTTGCGCTTGTTCCCCTTCATTCCCTCCAACTGTTGATCCTTGATGGCTTGATTGTCTACCTCTGCGTGGTAATGTACCTTGTGGTGTTAGATCACCAGGCGTGACTGCTTGTTGTTCGTATCCAGTATGAAATCCAATCAAGATTAACAAATGCAAAATGTCGTTCCAACTTCGATTAAACGTAACACACAATGCATCATCGGGAAAGTTTCCATCTAGCATTTCCATCATACCTTGTGGAATCTTTGGAGTCGCTTCATTTTGACCGTTCGATCCGCCTAATCCTCCTTTACGATATTCTTCATCGTTCGTGCTCTTTCGAATTGAAGAAGATGACGCCCGAATGGTTGATGAAGACGCACCTCTACGCAAAGGTATGCGTTTGATGGTACTTTGAGGTGTTGTTGAAGTTGTTGAGCGCTCTTGCCTTTCTTGCCTCTCTTTTGCCGCTGTATCGAATGCTACATTCGCTACATCGATCACTGTTGCTCTGGTCTTTCTTTGTTGATGAGCATTTGTGATTGTGCCGGTAAGCCTATCCATTTGTGAAGCAGCTTCTCCCAGTAGTAAAACAGGATATCGATGAACCCTTCGCAAGAAACCCTTGATTACTCCAAAAGTGACAAACCTCCTCACATCTATTCCAACAGAATCAATATCATTCTCTTCGATCCATTCGTTGAGCGTGACACTTGGCCGTAAGCTGGAATACAAGGACAGTAATTTGGGCCAAGTAGGTAAAGCATAACCTCGTCTTGTCACATAAGCAGCACATTCGTTCATGATGATCTCATCTTCTGCTAGAATGGCAATCGTTGGTCGAACGGTGTACATGTTTGTGAATTGAAATGTGTCGATAAGTATGATGCATCTGTAATACAACAAATGTTCAATGCATTGTCGTGTAAGCTCGATATCCGCATCTGCCAATTGTGATATTCTTTTGACGTGATTGATCCCGTCCACAAACGGTAACACTTTTCGCATGGTTAAATCCCAATTATCACTGATCCTTCTACTTAGATCCAATAGTGTCACGGGAACATCCCAATCGTTCACTTCTTTTGGGTTTGTGTATGTCGGGAACAATTTGACATTGATCGCATCACGTACCGTCCTTCCTAGTCCATGTGGTGGTTCACGTTTACCTGGCGCAAAAGCAGTCGTTGCCAACGTAGCAGGATCCTTTTGGGTTGCCTGTTCGTTCCAAGCTCTTGGAACGAAGATTCGTTTATCACGTAAGAGCTCAGCAGCTTTGGCTGCTTCTGTGACGTATTTTGAGTGTGGTGCTTCTGGTAAAGCAACGAATGATTCATAGTACGAATTCAAATCTTCAAATAGTTGTTCGATCAATTCGTACATCCTAAACTGTGACCTTGACAGGAAGGATGAGTTCTGTTCCAGATCCTTTAATTCACGAGCACATTTACGTACGATCGGCTCGTATGCCCTTACGTCAGCCCTCCCATCAAAGACGAATGCCAAATTGAATATGAAACTATTTCTCGGATATTTCTGTTGGTCGATTAGCAAGACCGGATGAGAGAGTACTTTATAGCTTTGTCCTTCTTGTGATGTTGTGGAGTATGTGATCAATCTACCACATAGAGGTGCTCGCGGTACGATGTACTCTGACAGATCTCTAAAGTCGAAAAGAGGAGCATGTGCTTGTGGTGGTTGACCTCGTTTCCTCGGAAGATCTTCTTCTGCATCAGAAGCATCTTGTGCGTTTGTATCTGATTGTGAGCCAGATTCCAGGTCAGGACTTGATTGTTCTTTTGAAGAAGATGAATAAATGCTTCCTTCTGGAACTTGAAAGATTACCGTTGGTCCTTTTGTCGGATGAAAGATTGAATAAAAGATGGCTACGATCGGAGGAAAGTAATCTTCTTCCGGTTGTATATTTGCTTGCCTTTCGTCTTCTGATGATAATCCAAATTCAGACGAACTCGTGTATGAGTACTCTGATTCACCCTCCCCTTCATACGTATCGCTCATTTTGGAACAGTGTTCATGATCATCGTTATCAGTAAAGGATCTTCCTAATCCTTACCCTTTGACTGTCCGTGCATGAAAGCTAAAATGTCAATCGCGCATTTCTAATCATACGCTTGTAGCGCGGTGGAGTTTTGTAGGAAGAAATTTTGGACAACATCACTTCCTCTCGCTTGCCTCTAGACGATCACGAGTTGACTCATAGTATCACTCAAGCAGATCGACAACTTGTCCTACAACCTACCCTCACAACCATCTCTGCCTCTGATGGCTTTACCCAGCATTCGTACAAAGATTACTACCGCAATCCGATCTCCACATCTCATTAAAGCATATTCGAGAACGTTTGCAAGTGCAGCTGCAAATCAATCATCAGCTCGAGCAATCATGCCAATCGAATCTTCAATGCGAGAAAAGATTACCAAAGAGTTTCAACCGGATACCTTAAACATACGGAATGAGTGAGTAACAATCACGCCTTGATTGTCGAATTAAGCGTATATGCTAATTGATATACCCTCTTCCTTTAGCTCTGCCAAACATGCTCATCATGCTGCAATGGTAGCTCAGGGTGGCGGTAGTGGAGAAACACACTTTTTCGTAGAAATTGTCGCAAAAGCATTTGAAGGAAAAACACAAATCGCTCGTCATCGTGCAATAAATGCGTTAATGAAGGATGAATTCGATCAAGGTCTTCATGCGTTGAGTTTGCGTGCTAAAACTCCAGCAGAATATGAAAGAGATCAAGAAATGCTTAAAGCGATCAACAAGAGCGGATAAAAGCAAATGCACAACAAGAGAGGAGGAGAAAAATGTATGATATTAGCTGAAACACTGTACATGTATGATGCGCTCATTGGTTCGAGATCAATGGAAATCAAACGAATGAATACTGATCTCGTCTTTAGACCCTAAAGACATAAAGGGTAGAGAAGAAGCGACTTGTGGTATCGTGTGATTGTGTGTGTGTGTATGCGTATGTGCATCGTGGTTGTGTGTTTTGTCTTGCGGCAGATCCCTCTCTCAAAAGCGCCAGGCTGGGAAAGCGGATCCGGACTAGAACACCATCAAGGGTATTGTCTTACATGACCGCACAATTGCATCCTGTGCTCTGAGGAGCATATGGATCTTCCTTTTTATCAACAGGTCCCCAAACGGATGGAACGAGATAATCGCGAGTGCTCTTGCAATACCGGATTAGTCTGAAAGTGAGGAAGGGAGTGGATGGCTGTCAGTGATGGTCTCTAAAGCGATACTTTTTTAGCAGAACCCACCCTATACTTGCTTCAGATACACGAACTCGTGGACGTTCGAGATCTTCACGTAACCTTTGATTATGTTCTGTCAATCGACGAAGTTTAAGCTCTGACATGGATTGTTTTGGTGGTCTTGAGTTCATGATGAAAAGAAAGCGAAACCAAAGATGTCTTGAGGGGGATCTGATCGGTATTTATAGGAAAGTGCCCTTGTGTGTCTTTTTTGCGGTTTTCTCAGGAGATGAAGGAGTGAGAAAGGTACGATTGTGTATATTTGGTCAAAATAGACTTCTATCAATTTGGCTCTTTTCCTTTTGTGTCTGCGTTCGGACCGCCGTTTATAGTGACGATCCTCCTCTTCTTTATACAACTGTCAACCTTTATTACGCGCTGAACCCCCCCTCACGCAGTGCCGCCCTGACTGGTGCTATTGCTGCTACTGCTACTGCATGTTGATTACGCCCATTGTGTTGTCTCTCATTTTAGTCCGTGTGTTAAAGGCGGAGGCCCGTTTGAATCAAAATCCGGCCGTGTTTAAATCGCGGAAAGCGGGGATGGAAGATTTTATTTTTTTATAATTGGGGCAAATGACTCGGAGTTAATGAATGTTACACAAACGATCATCTTCCCGACACACACACACCAGTCATGGCAACTAAACAATGCTGTGGATGTATTGGATCGATAACCAGAAATGGCCTCTCAAGCAGAATCGCATCTCGTCAAATACGAATTGCATCTAGGCCATTGCTCAATACATCTCGTTCCCTTACTACAACTCAGCACACTGTCACATCCAACACACCTTCCATGCCATCTGTCAATGGGCAAGCTATACCATCAACCTCATCATCTTACAAACCCACACCTGCAACACTCCCACAAGCACCTTTCCCAATCTTCACAACCGTTGCCGATTTCAGAAAATGGCGGAAAGAACAAATGAAACAAGACAAAAGCGTCGGATTCGTACCAACGATGGGAGCATTACACGAAGGACATTTAGCCTTGGTAAAAGAATCATTAAGAGAAAATGATGAAACTGTGGTTTCAATCTTTGTTAACCCAGCACAATTTGCTCCAACGGAAGATCTTTCAAGTTATCCACGTACGATGGAAAGTGATATCGCTGCTTTGAATAGATTGGCTTCTACAATGTCAAATCATAAACAAATTTCGGCAATCTTTGCGCCTACCGTACCGGAAATGTATCCAAGTCCAGATGGTAAACCGTTTACGCAAGTTGTATCTGATCAAATTGGAGCATTTGTTGAAGTAGCGGGATTACAGCACAAAATGGAAGGTTCTTCCCGACCAACGTTCTTTCGTGGTGTAGCAACAGTTGTAACGAAATTGTTTCACATCGTTCAACCTGATCAAGCGTATTTTGGTCAAAAAGATATTCAACAAGCAATATTACTACGAAGACTCGTTTCTGACCTTTTGTTCGCTCATCCTCCTTCACCTGAAGCATTGCGGATCATGCCAACGACTAGAGATCCGATTGATGGATTAGCATTGAGTAGCAGGAATGCCTACCTTACACAAAGAGCAAGACCACATGCTAATATTCTATATAGAGCCTTGTGTGCCGGACAGAAGGCGTGGGATGAAAATCCAGGTGATATTCAAGCAACCCTTCAAGCCGCACGACAAAAAGCCAAACAGATTGCAGAAGAAGCGGATAAAGATGGAATCGATTTGGATATCTTGTACATTGATTTGAACGATCCGGTAGATTTGGACAATTTAGAGAATAGAAGGGGTAAATCAATCATTGACCCTCAAACAATCAGCCAGAGGGGCGCAATCTTATCGGGAGCTGCTTTGATCAAAGAAGGTCGCAACGGAAGGGTGACCAGATTGATTGATAATTTCTTGTTAGGATTCAAACTTTAGTTTTTTCGTCGCATGGAAACCTTCACTTTGTACTATATATAATCGCAATGCAATCACTATCAGATCATACTGATGACAATATAATTTCATGCGGTAACATATGTCTATAAAAACAAGCAATGAAAGTAGATCTCGGGCACGAGAGAGTATACAGAGGTGAGGGAGAGAGAGAGAGAAAAATGAATGAATAATGTTCAATGAAAATGAAAGTTTTGCAAGGAATTGCCTTACATCGCCATCTGTCTCGGTCGTACACGAGGCGCTCCTCCTCCAGGATATGCTGCCATGGATTGCTGGGATTGTTGTTGCATCATCGGTTGAGAATAACCAATTGGTGCATTGCCACCGGAAGGCATGATTGAACCTGGCTTAAAACCTCCTCCAACCGATTGATTCCCTGCCATAGGATAACCATTATCGTATGATTGCTGTTGCTGTGATGAATATGAATATTGGGTATTGTTTGGTGATTGTTGCACAAGTGGCTCTGAAGATGATCCTGGCGTTCTTTGACCGTAACTTTGACCTGCACTGCTTGATCCTGAACCTGATCGTAATCTGCCTTGTTGATTAGGCAGCATCAAATTTCCATTCACACCAGGTGATGTAGGCCCATTTGCACTTCGAGCTCCTAACGGATCAATGCGTCCTGCGCCAAAGTTATCCGCTTGAGCAGATAAAAAGATTGCCTTATCGTTATTCTTTGAGTTGTAAACACTTATCGCCCTACTAGAACGATAGACGCTCTGAATTTGACTCCTCCTCCTTGCATCTCCTTTTCCCATACTATCAATCCTTCGTAATCCTGCACCACCGCTTGCTTGAATTTCTTCGGGCGAACGATCTTCTGTTGAAGGTTTTCTGATCATCTTTGATTTTCGATTTCCTACCGCTCCATACAAATCATGATTCATCGGATCATCATCTGCTCCTGCATATAGCGATTTACGTAATTGACCAGGTCCCATACTGTCAATCCTTTTGCTCATCGCACGAGAATATCTAGATTTCCTTTTGGCGTCTGCTGCTGGCGGTCTTCCCATTCCTACTCGTGCGTGAGAGGGAACGTTTCCCTGTCCGGGCACCATGGGTGTTGTTCGTTCTGGGCTGGATGGTGAATTCGGTCCAGCATAGCCGGCAAAGTTGACTGGTTGTCCTGGCGTGAATCCGCTGCCATCAGGTGCGAATGTACTGTTTCCGTTCAACATTGGATGTGCACCTGGACCTTTACGTGAAGATGCCATTGTGGCAGCACCGGGTAATTGAACGCCAGACGATTGACCACGTGTATGACCGTTGCTCTTTCTGCCAAAATAATCCCCCTGTCCACTATTATGCGAAGAAACAGATGTATCAATCGTATCATCGCCCACTCTACCACCTGTTCCCATGGGACTGGCAAACTGTAAAAGACTCAATCGTGATCCCATACCTTTCCCTCCCCCGTTTGGAACTTTTAGATTATTGGTTGCTGCTCTGGTACCATATCCTGCTGCGCTCGGTTGGAACAACTTTTGTTGTGTATACGGAGCTGCCTCTTTTCTAGGTTTGTTGAAAACTTTGCAAAGTTCACCAATGATGAGCAAAACAACGAATAATCCCAAAACAACAGCCAAAATCAAAACCACTTCTACTGGCGATAAACCAGAATAATTTTTTGACGTATCTTCAACAGCTTGGGTAGTAGCTACAACTGATGCTGCTCTTTTTTCGAAAGATTGTGTTGCGGTTGAAATGATTTGTGTTGCCCTTTGTGCTAATTGAGGTTGATCGACAGCCTTTGCACCTAACGAACCAGCATTACGAGCAACAATTTTGACCAAACCTTCTTTCGCCATACTTTCAAAGTATCAGATTTGGTCGCGAAAGAGAGAGAGAGAGAGATGTGGAAGATGATGAATTTTGATTCAAAGGTGACGGTGGAGATGTTGTTGTTTGTTGGCCATCAATCGAACCTGTCTGGCTGGCGTAATCAAATAAATAAAAAAAAGGTATATCAGAGTAGCAATGGAAAAAAAGAGCGGATGTGTAAATAGTCGCGCAGCCGCGATTGGGTTTAGAAATAGCAAAGAGCGGCTGACAAGGTTGAAATGTCGGCGGCATGAATGACCAAAGAAGAGTCAAGTGTAGTGGGTGAGCGAGTAAGATCAGTAGTGATCCAATGCCTACCTCTTGACAGCTATTCAACAGTCAGATATTTTACGTTCCAAAGGCAAACACAGTGCATATCTTTTGCATTGCACAAAGAGAAAAAAAGTTTCAACGAATGCACACACACACACATCTCTATGCCGCGCATAACCGCACTCTTTTCCTACGTATCACACAAAATGTAGATGCAGACTGATTTAATGCCATTTAAGCAAAATTAGCGTGACTTCTGGATAAAATTGCTTGTATCCAAATATAGAGAGGAGGAAAAAAAGAAGCCGTACAAGGGGCTATTTATTGTTTCGGGCACAAGAAAACGAGAGCGCGCGCGCACGCTAAACACGATGCATCTCAGCACAATCGGTCAGCCGCAAGTGATAAATGCAAACTACCATTCTTCGGCATGAAGGGGCGTTTACACAGTGAACGCGTTCATAATGCTCTTTACGCGTAAGGGCGAAGTTAATAAGGGTGCCCTTTTCTCTCTACCCGGCACCCAACGAGTCGATTACAGGGTGAATCGAAAGCGCGTGCGCGAAGCGCACAGGCTTTGCCTATTAGGGGGAACCCCTAATAGGCACCGACACATTAATGCAACATGAGACACATTAATGCAACAAAATATTTTGGTGCAAAATGACCACCATCTGAACATGCCGAGAAAGACAAAAACAGCGCAAAAAGCAAGGAAAGCTGCCGCAGCAGCAGGTGCTGCAGCTGCCAAGGAGCTGAAAATCATACAGGCTGCTGCTGCGGCAGACAAAGAAGCACAAATTCAAGCTATGGTTGATGAGCTTGACCCAAATACCAAGAAGAACAATTACCGGGCTCTTGCAAAAACGTTAAATATTAGCCATACCACCTTATATAGGCGCTTGAAAAAAGGGCAACAAAATAGGTCCGATGCTCGGAAATATAACAATTCTGCATTAACCAAGGAGGAAGAATATAGCTTAAAGCAGTACATACTTGAGGCAGAAGTATAGGGAATAAGCCTAAACAAGCGCAGTGTACAATCTTTTACGATGGAAATCAGGGTAAAAAGGGTAAATCCGCCAGATGAACCTATGGTTTCGCTGAGATAGGTAGATAGGTTTTTATATAGGCAAAACCTATTTACAGGTATCGTAAAACCACTTAAGGTAGCTCGGTTCGATATATAGTAAAAAGTTATAAAACTAGCTAATTAGTATAAACGCCTAAATAAGTAAATATATAAGCACGATATCACCTTAACTTATATTTAGAATATAGATGAAACTAATATTATGATCGGCCTTAGTCGTAAGGAAAAAGTTATTATTTCTTAGAAAAATATACTGGTAAACTACCGAAATAATATAAATCGAGATAGAATTATACTGATTAAAACGATTAATACTAACGGCGAGTTTATCCTACTATTTATCATCGGAAAAGGATCGAATATTATAAATAGATAGGTATAAGCTAGGCCTGATATAGGCTAGGAAATATAGGCTATACCTACTAGGTATATAGATAATCACCTTATAATAGAGTAGCTTAAGTACTTTATTATATATATAGAGTATATATATACTAGGTAGCCTACTTTACTAGTTTTAGATAGTTATAGTAGCTATACTATATTTCTATTCTAGTTTTAGGCCTAATAAGTAAATATATACCTATTTACGATACTACTATATACTATATATATTTACTAGCTCTTAGATATTACTTTATTTTAGCCGTTCAAGATATATTACTGTAATATAATCAATCATATAAACTTACTTTCTATAAAAGGTATAAATAAGGAAAACTTCTTAGTAATACTTACCGGTATACATAATCAAGCCTATACCCCGCAAAATATGAAATCAGGCTTTCGGCAAGCTAGGATTTAGCCCTATAACCTATAAATTATGCTTTATAAGCTTTTGCCGCAGCAAACAAACCGTGAAAGTACACCTACACCTGATGTAGAAATCGACCCACAAACCCTATTTACGCCTACAAGGCGTGGCAAACACCTACTTGAGCATGTTGGCACACCAGAAACATCTCCTAAGTTACGCAAATACCAAGTATACATCGACACATGCCTACAAAATGGTCAGCCCTTTGATCAGGCAATCCTGAGCAAGTACTTGCGTGGCTCAATTGCCGTATGTGTTACAAGTGAGCTGATGCACCAACGCCTAGATGTACAAGCACAAATACGCTCAATGCAAGATGAACAGGCAAGCGAAGGCAAAACCCAGTGTAGGCTTGGTGGTGTTTTAAACCCAAGCCAACTTCGTATGATTTCCACTGAGCGAAATAAGGCCTATCAAGCTAAAGTGCTATCTACAGCACAAACTGCCTATAAGGAGCTTCTTAAAAGCGGAAAATTCACAGGTACATTTGATCAGTTTATTGAGCATCAAAAGGTGTCAGGAGCGGTTGCACTTCGGGCTGTTCAGGCTCTAAATGACTCACAGAATATGGCAAATTTACTTATGCAACAAAGACTAGAAGATAGAGATAGATTGTTAGCAGCAGGCCCATCTTTTCACCGTCATATTGGCACACAATGTTAATGAAATCATGATTTTTCCACTCACCAAAATATTTTGTTGCATTAATGTGTCTCATGTTGCATTAATGTGTCGGTGCCTATTAGGGGTTCCCCCTAATAGGCTAAGCCTGTGCGCTTCGCGCACGCGCTTTCGATTCACCCTGTAATCGACTCGTTGGGTGCCGGGTAATAGCAAGCAGCAGCCATTGTTTTTAATGCTGGCCAACCTTATTTAATCGCAAGGTGATCCGATAAGACTCTGGCGCGGCACCGATCTTGTGTCTCTACCTAATGTGCCGCCCGCGCCCTTTGGCGTACACGTTTTGGCCGAATTAACCTTTTGTCTAAATTCATGGGAAGACTTGGCCAAATTTAGGGGAAAGATTAACACGTTTGTTTGTATTCTCTCTTCCCGAACAAACACAACTTGCACCAAACAAACACTTTGCTGGCAAAGATGGGTTTGGTATCCAGACCCAAGATTAAAGAGAATGGCAACGAGGGAACGAGTGTGGCAACTGCTTCTACATCCACAGCTGATGATCGCCTGCAAAAGCTTAAAACCCTCACAAGGCACGAATTAGCAGAGAGGATCGCAGAGGGTGAAACGCTGGTACTACATAGGAGAAGGATTTATAAATTGGACAGGTGGCTTGCAAATCATCCTGGAGGTGAACTAGCAATCCTACATTTTGTAGGAAGGGATGCAACAGACGAAATTGAAGCATATCATTGCGATCAAACGTTAAAAAGGATGCGTGGATTTTGCATAGCCATGCTTGATGAATCTGATTGGGAAGGAAAGGATGGAGAAGGATACAAACCGCTCGTTCCGCCTGTTCAATTGGGTTACAGGTCAGGCAAATTGGATCATCCCGATGCACAATGGACGGCGTGGAAAGCATCTGAAGCAATGCAACCAAATCTAGATGGAATAGAATCCAGGAACGTACCTTCTACTCGACCGCAAGGATTCCCATTGCCTCTTCAACTGTTAGAGCCACCAGCAGATCCACCCGGTATCAATCCAGCACGAGAAAGGGCAATCTCAGAAGACTATCGCAAAATGCATGATCAAGTCAAAGCTGCAGGGCTGTATGACCTTCGACCGGCAGGGTATATGCGTGAATGTTCTCGCTACGTCACCTTAGCCTTACTTGCCGCATTCACCTGGTCGAAATCATACTATTTGCTATCTTCTTTCTTCCTCGGGCTTTTCTGGCATCAGCTCACTTTCACAGCCCACGATGCCGGTCACAGCGGTATCACGCATAGTCATTTTTGGGATCGCTTGATCGGAAGTGTGATTGCTGATTATATTGGTGGATTATCGATTGGGTGGTGGTGCGACAATCACGATGTGCATCATCTTGTCACAAATCACCCCGAACACGACCCGGACATTCAACATATGCCATTCTTTGCAATCAGTCCCAAATTCTTGGTACAAATATCACCAAGCGGATCCAAAGAGGAAGGTCAATTCGGTCTTTGGTCATCGTATTATCGTCGTGTGTTGGCATACGATCTACCTTCTCGGATTTTCTTGACTGTCCAACATAAGATCTATTATGTGGTGATGTCTTTGGGTCGATTCAATTTGTATGCTAACTCTTATGGCTTCTTGGCATTGAAAGCTAGAAGGGACAAATGGTTTTGGATAGAGACAACAGGTTTGGTATTCTTTTGGTATTGGTTCGCCTACCTTTATCTCGGTGCGATGCCTGCTTGGTCAACACGAATCGCTGCTCTTTTGATCAGTCATATCGTCACGAGTCCGTTGCACGTTCAAATTGTTCTTTCGCATTTCGCTCAATCTTCCGAAGATCTTGGATTGCGGGAATGTTTTGCTTCCCGACAAATTCGAACGACGATGGATGTTCTTTGTCCGACATACCTTGACTTCTTACACGGTGGCCTGCATATGCAAGTATCTCATCATTTATTCCCACGGATACCCAGACACAATCTCCGCAAGGTGCGCGATGAATTCGTTAGACCTTTTGCGAAAAAGTGGGATCTATCCTATGAAGAATACACGTTCCAACAAGGAAATGGAAAAGTGCTCAAAACTTTGGAACATGTTGCTAATCAAGTCAAGATTCTTTCCATGGTTGCAGGTGCCCAAGCAAGAGGAGAAATTCATCGTTAGGGTGCTCTTATTTTTTGTATAATATGATAGATTCCCCTGAACACAATTTGCATAATTATACACATTTATTTTCGTCACTTGTTGCAGATAGCCGAGATATACAAAAAGGTGATTCGTAATGTAGCAAAGCGGAAAAATTTAGATGGGATGTTATCCTGATTTTATTCCTGTGGTACGAAAGGATTTGAGATTTGACCGAATCCATCGGCGGGATTTAGAACGGTAAGAGCGGTTCCACGTAGAACTGCGAGACCTAATGGTCTAGTCTTTTCGGTCAGATCACCTGATTCAGGATCACGAATATATTCCTCGACATCATCCATGACCAAGTTCATCAATTGATCGTATCCTTTCAAAATTCCAACCACTTCACGACCTCCGGTAAATTTAACTCGAACTCGTTTATCGACATGTTTTGCAAGATCCAAAATTGCTTCTTTTTTCGGTCTTTCTGCTGCTGATGTGTTCACTGGAGCGGATGAAGATGAAGATGAAGCATGTCCACCTCTTCCTCCACGATTTCCACCTCTGTGTTGACCACCTCTGCCACGATCACCGCCTCCTCCTCTTCCCTGACCACCTCTTCCTCCACGAAATCCTGATCCTCCTCTTGGTGCTCCCTGGGAAAGGTGTGGGGGAATGTTGTCAGTATCACATGACATGCTCTTTGCCCTTACTTTTCTACTTACTCTGTCTGCCATTTCTGTTTATAGATCTTGTTGAAGCTGATGGTTGTTACTGACTGACAATCTTCTCTTGCTTAAGCCGGCGCGTCTTGCAAAACTTCTCGCAACCCCTGCCTACACACACACACACACACGCCTATAAATGCACAGTCCACTCACTCACTTAAAGCGGGGGTGGAATACTAACATCCGAGAACAAAGGGGATTTCATAGATTGTAGAATGAACACGTTTGCTTCTTCTTTGTTCTTCCTCCCGACGATCACAACGAAGGGGCAACAACAAATCCAAAGATGATTTCGGCATTTTTCATCTTTAATCAAAAGGGGGAAGTCTTAATCTCAAGATTGTTTAGACCGGATTTGAAAAGATCAATTGCGGAAATCTTTCGAATCCAAGTCGTTTCAAATCCTGATGTTCGATCGCCAATTGTGACGCTTGGAAGTACTTCTTTCTTTCATGTTCGTCATGAGAACTTATATGTGGTCGCGGTAACGAAATGCAATGCAAACGCTGCTTTGGTTTTCGAGTTTTGTTATCGAATTATTCAAATTGGAAGATCCTACTTTGGCAAATTCGATGAAGAAAGCGTAAAGAACAACTTTGTTCTATTCTATGAATTATTGGATGAAGTGATGGACTTTGGATATCCTCAAAATAGTGAAACAGACACCCTCAAAATGTACATCACAACCGAAAGCGTCAAATCTGAACAAGCAGTACGTGAAGATAGCGCAAAGATTACCATTCAAGCAACAGGTGCGACCAGTTGGAGAAGGGCCGATGTGAAATATCGCAAAAATGAAGCATTCGTGGATGTGATTGAAACTGTGAACCTTTTGATGAGTAATAAAGGTACAGTCTTACGAGCAGATGTGGACGGACAAATTTTGATGCGTGCTTATTTATCTGGCATGCCTGAATGTCGATTCGGATTGAATGATAAACTGGTACTGGCAAAAGATGACAAGAAACGAGACGATGGAGCTGTTGAACTTGATGACTGTCAATTTCACCAATGTGTCAAGCTTGGCAAATACGACGTTGACCGAAGTATCAGCTTCACTCCACCTGATGGAGAATTCGAGTTGATGCGATACAGATCTACGAGTAATGTCAACCTACCATTCAAAGTACATCCAATCGTCGAAGAACATGGAAAGTCAAGGGTGGAGTATAACATCTCCATTCGCGCAAATTTTGATTCAAAATTGAGTGGAAACAATGTGATTGTTAAAATTCCAACGCCAACAAATACGACAAACGTAAAATGTCAAGTCGCAATGGGAAAAGCAAAATACGTTCCGGAAGAACATGTGATCGTTTGGAAAATCCCTCGGATACAAGGAATGGCAGAAGCTTCACTTCAAGCAGATGCAGAACTTTCTTCTACAACACACAGAAAAGCTTGGTCAAGGCCGCCGATCGAATTGGATTTTCAAGTTTTGATGTTCACTTCCAGTGGTTTGCTAGTAAGGTACCTCAAAGTGTTTGAGAAATCAAATTATCAGAGTATCAAATGGGTACGTTACCTCACCAAAGCGAACGGAACCTACTTGATCCGCATTTGAAGGTTTTTTGTTCCTCTTCATCTATTGTATTATCATCTTCTAATGTGATTCTCATTTTAATCTATAGCAAAGGTAGTCTGTGCTTTAGTCATCAATTCTCACGTCTTGATATTGTTCTGATTTTCAGGGAACAGCTAAGATCCCAACTATTGGAACGTAGTCATTAATTAGCGATCGAGGTGATGTCTAAACGTACAGAGGTTGTAGAGGATATGAGCCAGATAACACAAAAGTGTCGTCTGTAAGACAAGAAGAGGTATTGAGCACAAAAAATGTGCTTAAAAGCAGAAAGAAAAAAGTTGCATCATCATTTGCGTTCAGTCAAAACGATATTGGCAGGTTGTTGAGGCAAGACGATCATAGAAGTGTAATCAGGACCAGGGAAAGTGGTTTCCAAAGTCCAAGAATATCTTCTGACAAAGTAAGACAAAATTGTACCCAATTGCAAATAAGCAAATTGTTCTCCGATGCATCTATGACGACCGGCTCCGAAAGGCAAATAAGGACTATTTCCACCACTCTTAATTGCACCCCATCCGTAATCAACATCTTCATCTTTGTCTTCGGAAGTGTTTGCAACGTTATCCTTATCGAACCAACGCTTAGGGTCAAATTTATCAGCATCACGCCAGACTTTGGTATCCATTTGGCTAACACCAGGAGCGGCCATGACGTAATGACCAGCGGGAATGACGTAGGTAGAATCGGCTGACTTCTCTGTGTTGACGGTTCCAGGAGCGGCCAAAGTGGGTGGAACAGGAATATCAGAGAGAACTTTTCTCATGATACTGTGAATCGGTGGGTGCATACGCAATGTTTCACGAACGACACAGTCCATCAAAGGCAAGGAAACTTTTTGTGTATCATAATCCAAAGGTCTCAATGTTCCATCTGAATCACCAAATACCTTGACCTGTTCTGCGTACAATTCTTCAATAATTTCTGGTCGGCTTGCCAAACGTAACATGCCCCAGCTCAAAGTTGCACTGGATGTATGTTGACCGGCCATCAAAAGAGCGATCATAATGTGTGCAATTTCTACATCGCGAAGTGGTCTACCGTTCTTGTAGGTTTGTTGCATCAAAGAGGCGATCATATCATGTTCACTTTCATCTGCGTCAGTTTTTCCTTGACGACGTTTTTGGATGATTTCTTGGTAAAAGTTGCTCATCTTCTTTTGAGCACGATCACGACGGAAGTTGCTTGGCAAGGGTAAGTTGGGAATGACGAAGTTGATTGGGTTGAAGCCCATGTCCAAATCATGGTAAAGATCTGCGAATGTCTTGTCAAGTGCATCACGAACTTCTTTACCTTGTAGAGTACGACTAGCAGTCAAGATTGTGATCTCGCACATTGCTTTGAAGATGTCCACAGTTCCGGTTGCTTTTGGAACGTTCTTTTGGAATGGAGCAAAAGCAGGATCGGTTGAATTGAAATTGTTCACTTCATCTGTAATTTGACCGACGTAAACACGGAAGTTATCCACCGACAAACCAGTCTTGACCAACTTCTTTTGTTCCATCAAAACTGCATTTGGGACATCATACACCACCTCTTTACCAAAGACGGGAGTGGTCAAATGAGTGTAAGCCTCTTCAGCAGAAACTTGTTGTAAACGACCGTTAAAGACCAAATTGGATCCTTTGGGACCCAATGCAACAGTGATATTTCTACCTAATAGCTTGAAAGTGAAAACGTCTCCATACTTTTCACGATTATCAAAGAAGAACTTGTACGGGTCCATACCGTATGAGATTGCACTTCCGATGATTGGCACATAGTGGAATACGACCGGAGGAGCAGCAGTACGTTGGGGCAAAACCAATTGGGCAACAATGTTTAAGATAACGATAAGGACAGGGATAATGACAGCCAAAGAAGCTGCTTGTGCCACCGGGGAGAGGTCACGTAAAACAGGCGTAGCCTGTATCAGAGATGAAACGACCTCCATCTTGACTAAGTAGGTGATAGATTATGATGGTAATAGGAACAATAAATGCTCCGTTATCATCACAATTCAATTCTTCCAAAATTTAGCCTTTTCTCTTCGCAGCCAGGAAGCCCAAAAATTTTCCATGGATTTCAACAACGCACAGCCTTAAAGGCAACCAACACACGCACCACTTTAAACGAGTTTTATAATGGCGTGTCTGTAAGAAAGCTAATGCAATGCGTAAACAAACTCATTCCACGCGTACCTCCAGGGCGTCTGTTTGTCAGTAGCAGAGGCGGGCAGTCCATACAAGGCCAAATCGCCCATCTCTCGGTTGTCCTTGAAGCTGCACGGAAAAGTTTAAACAGAACAGAATTAGAAGCAGGCAAAGCGGCCCGGTAAAAATAAGCAGACGCGTTTCTCCTATAGTGCATCATCGTTGCCAGCCGCAAAAAGTTTGGATTATTTGCACTGTAGCCAATGATTTACGAATAAGGAAACTTGACAAAAAGCTCTGCTCGTGTGCTTTGTTGGAACGCGTGAATTTTAAATTCCTCACCTTTTTTTGTTTGACCCTTTGAGTTATCGATCTGCTTAAAAATGCGTTCTGGTGACTAATCATTCTTCTTTCCCACCTTCAATCATACGTAAGCAAGATATTCTGTGTCTCTCACAAACGCGTATCGTACAAGACCATCATTCAAAAGAGAGAGAGAGAAAGGTGTGGAGAAATAAAAACGGAACATAACGACAGATAAAAAGGAAGGACCCTGCGTTGGAACGAAAGCATCGGAGATTGTTAAAATAAGAAGTCAATAAGAAGCGGATGCAAAAGTGGACTTAGAGAATTGTGAGTATCTTTCCCTCTCCCAACTTCTATACAACCATCATCGCAGTTCTAGAGACTACCTCTCGAACCGACTGCATGACCTCACGGTTATAGTGATCCATCTAACCCTAACTTTGTGTCACATCTTGCTGACTAAACAAACCTTCCTACCATCATCATCACCTTATACCAATCAACTGAAGTCAGTACGCCTAGGATATTGCAAATCTCTCGCTTGGATTGAAACCTATCTCAAATTCATATCGAACTCACGATAAACATCTATACCTCCTCTTGGCCTATCTATTTGCAAAATGGATGCAATCATGGGATTAGCACAAACGGCTACCGATCAGCCCAATCCACCTCCGCCATATGATCCCGAGAGCAATGATACAACTGGTCAAACAAACGCGAATACCTCTGAAAGTGCAAACAAGAAGAGAAAATTGGGAAATGATAATGAATCAGATATACAGAGTAGCGGTACCAACGATAAATCCACTACCGTAACAAATGCACCTGAAAATGAACAGCAATTCCAATGGTCAGCAACCAATGAGAACCTGGCCAAATTGTTTAAAGATGTACCTGAATTGCAACAAGATCATCAACAACAAAACAGCTCGACAGGCGAAAGCACCAAAGGAGAAAGCCGAAATGGCGAAGCATCTTCCACTGCCGCCAATAAATCTGAGCCCTCTACTTCTTCCTTCCCAATGGGAGATGCAGCTGATCAAACACAAGACACTACATTCACGAGTGGTGTAGGCGATGACAGCAGGTGGACGGCCGGCACAGGCGCAGAAGAAGGTGGTGCAGGTACAGAAGACGAAGTCTTATTGGCAAGGAACGGTAGACCTCTAAATAAGTCCAAGAGAGCAGCGCAAAATCGTCAAGCTCAACGTGCATTCCGTGCTCGAAGGGATGAATACGTCCGTCAAACGGAGGAAAAGGCAAAATTGACGGATGAAGCAGTTGAAACTGCCAAGAAGCTCAAGAGTCGTTTAGATGAAGCATTAAATGCTATCAAAATCTTACGTGAAGATAATGATGCTTTACGTTTGGGTATTGAAGCTTTGGGAGGTCAAGCACCACCTGCTTTGCCATTCGAATTGTCTGGATCTCCTCTTATTGATACAAACAAAGATTTGAAAACGCAAGGAGAAGACAGAAAGACGGCAGAAGAAAATGCAAGTGATTTGGCGAGTTTGAGTGCTGTAGCTGTGGCTGCTGCTGCTTCATCCGAAGCAAATGCAGCAAAAGAACTCGGATCAGCCTTAGATACCTCTCTTCCAACATCATCTGCTGTAGATGCAAACCCTACCGCTGCCACCGCCGCTCCGAGTGGTGCTGAGAACAAAGAGTAAAGCTCTTTGCGTACTATATCTTTCTACTTCTTCTTATCTGTATATCTATCCCAACAGGACTTGTAGGGAAATCTGCCTCCTCTTTATACTGCATACATGTGAATCAATCTTTTATGATATCGTTTTTGTCTGTCTGAGAATGTGTACATGAATAAATTGTAGAAAAGCAAAAAGTTTGACCATAAGAGTACAAAGGAGATGATGACTTGAAAGAGAGAGGAAAGTTTGTGGATGGATATGAAATTGTCTTGTGGATTTTAAGTCTGCTTTTTGTTTCACTTCCTTCCATATTTCATCTTTCCCAAATCCCATGGAACATAACGATATCTGATCATATGTTGAATCTGTCTTCTCATCGTTAATCCAGTCAACATGAGCCAATAAACCACAAGAACGGGCCAAAAGACGGGTATATCAAAGATGATAAACATTGTGCAAAATAGCGAAATGAGAATTGCTTGTGTTGCGCCTAACCAAAATTTGAATTCGGGTAATCGTCTGATAAAAGGACGGAATTCATCATCTATAGCACCACCATTTCCGTTTGCATTACCGCCACCGCCACCGAACATACCGCTCATCAAACCTTGTTGACCGTTTTGTTTTTTAGCAGAAGGAGAACTTGTTGGTAATCCCGGTTCACCTTCTTCAACATCTTGTTCTGCCAAATCAGCATCCAAAGAAGGATCAAATTTAGGTGAAATGAAAGCCAAGAAGAGGTTCAAGAGGTAAATGAACAAAGCATAACAAACGATATACCATCCTTGTGCAAAGATGATTCTGAGCATGAACAAGAACAGCAAACCTGCCGTTACTGCCCATCTTTCTGTAACGTGTGGCGTGGTTTTATCTAGAAATGCTTGAACCCGTCTTTCGAGCATTGCTGATTGTTGCATCATCCTTTGAACGGCTGGAGGTGCATCTTCGAGCTCGTCTCCTTGTGGTCGCATCATCTTGTATGGGGTGTATGCGAGGTGGATGTCGTTCTACACAGTCGAGGTTGGTAGTGTGGACTTTGTTCGTAGGTTGTAATGGTTACTACTTGTCCTATGAGTGAATGTGAGAACAATAATGAACACGAACGAACGTAGTTATTGGTGATGGTTGATATGTTCTATGGATGTATAGAGCAAGGATCCGTTCAGATCTTCCGATTTTTGAGAGTAGGTGCAATGTATCTTAAAATACAATCGTCCTCCCCCCGAGTCTTCTATTCTAGAAGTGAGCCTTGCCTGTCTCTTTTTTTGATTCAATCCTGCTGCAGTTACACAGCCGAGGGAACGCTTTTAAAGCCAACAAATGCATAATGTACACGGCACGCCCTACTTCTTTGTCTCAAGCCACGTGTTCAGAGGCAAAGTGCCCGAATAAATGTGAATCACTTCAGCAGCTGAGAGCCACAGCTTAAATTCAGTCAGTCCATGGAGTAAGAAGAAGAACATCAAGTCAACTTTGTGGAGAACGTTTATGATTGTGGTCATTCATCAAAAGAGTGATGATGACAACAACTAATACAAACAATGCCCCGACAATCTTTGTGACGGTGGGAAGTACAAAATTCACAGCTTTGGTGGCTGCGATGCTATCGTGTAAAGTAGTTGATGCGATCGCTGATGCATGCAAACACACAACATCTTCACCTCGATTGATCATACAGTATGGAGCCACACCATTATCGGATATCTTGTTGGAATCAGGATCAGTATTGCATAGAACGAGCAAAGGCAAAGGAAAGAAATTTGACGACCCACTGGGTGCATCGGGTACATTACCAATTCCAATGTCAGCGTTCCTACCAAAGAACGATCAGAACGCAACCCCTGATCTAGTCATGCAAGACAATCTTCTCGCCAAATCATTCCGTCTTGGTCAAACGAGTAAGCTGGATCACCCTGACGAAGACGAAGAAGATGATCAATTACGCACAAAGAGGAAGCATTTCACCTTTACAGTGCAAGCCGGAACGAGCGATGGAGAATCAGAGGTACATATCGAGCTTAGAGATTATGTGCCAGATTTAAGGCCATTTCTACTTTCTTCTGATGTTGTAATCAGCCATGCTGGTTCTGGAACAATATTGGAAGCCTTACGATTACCCGCTGAACAAAAGTCTAAATTGGTCGTTGTGCCAAATGAAACATTGATGGATAATCATCAAGCAGAATTAGCACAAGCATTAGCCCAACAAAATTACCTTGTGGCCACTCGTGTACGAGGTAAGATGGGCGAGGAAAAGTGAGTGAATCGAAGAATTCGGAGTAATAGGAACCTTTCTAACATTTTCCTTTCTTCATCCCATCAGCCGTTTGCCAAGCTTACTGCAAGCTCTGCTATCACCGAATGCATCCAATGCACCTCGAACAACCCCTTTTCCACCTTTCATACCTGGCCGATTCCAAACATTGATCGATGCAGAGATGGGATTCCTGTAAACCTTACAAAACCGCAACCGTCCCCTGTATTATCTAGTCCCCTTCGCAATGTACAATATACGTTCAACCAATATCGAATTACGACAATTTGTTGCCGTGTGAGAGAGAAAAGTATTGTACAATATAGATTACAGATTCGACCAAAATGCAAATTCAGATGTCCGTTGATGTGTTTCACCTTACATGGGCTTAACGGGTCGTTGAGTTGGCAAGATGCCGAATCTCTTTTTGATTGTGGCACGATGTCTGGCGTATTTGTCGTCAGGTGAGAAGCGGGCTAATAACAGGAAGAGGACAAGATTAGCATACATCGCACAAAGTTTGGCCCTAGCTGTCCTTTACTCACCTGGATGAGCACTCATTGTCATTGCTCCTGTCTCTGTTTGCTTCTTCAATGTGTAGATGCGCTTTCCATCCTGTACGAGAAAGAATGAGTGCGATGGTTAGCAATCCTCCTTTGCCTCAATAGAATCGCATGATGAACTTACTGTTCCGATTGAGTACATCAAATGCATGATGGGCAGATCTTCTCTTTAGGTATAAGTGATGGTGATGAAATGCCAATGACGACCAGCACGGCCCTAATACTCCATGTAATCTGCAACTTTTAGGAACTTTGTCGATGAAATTTAAAGCCTTCACGTGTGTTTATAGAGAAAAGACTTCCGCGTACGTAAGCATCTCTGAACAAAATGTTTTCCCTCTTCACTCTTCACGTGTTCGTGAATCAGAATTTCTTGTTTGAACCGCAGGCGCAGCGCATCCTCTGCGTGCGCGCATACACTTGGATTTAGAGGAATAGCAGCAGCAGCAGGCAGCTCTAAGCTGGGCGCACGCATCCAGAAGGCCAGTGTGAATTCCAAGAAGTTGCTCAAGCCTCAAGACTGCTTGCTGAACGGCTAAGTGTAGATGCAATTCAAACTCTTGTTCACGACCACCTCTTCTTCCATCTCAAGGTTTTATTTCGCAAGAGTATCAATAAAAAAATGGCCGGAGGTAGCAGTCATCCCCATCACAAAGTGGACACAGTTTCCCGTTCAGGACTCGTTTGGGGTGTTGACCGTGGTCACAAAACTGAACGTCGTGTTCCTGTTCAACGTCCAAGCCGTAGAAAGGGAAACCAATCTCAACGTAAGGCAGTCATCAACTCTGTCGTTCGTGAAGTTACAGGTTTCGCACCTTACGAACGTCGTGCTATGGAATTGATCCGTAACTCAAAGGTAAGCATTGGATGAAAGAGGGGTGGAAGGAGTATTGTTGTGGTGAAAGAGAGAGAAAACGGGAGAATGGAGATAGGAAGGGCAAAGACGACACAGAGAGAGTACGACGACCGACCCATCGACATTGAATCGCTGCGAACGACTGTGGAAGGTGCTGGTGGGAGATGTGAAGCGTTGTTCTGTGAAATTATACTGCGACCTGATACATCGAAACTTATAGGAACAGCATTTCGAAAACTCCGACATTATACCAGTGCCAACTTGAATCGGTCTGTCGCGCAATACTCTCCAAACACCAAAGCAATCTTCGTCCGCTGTGTCATTCGCTCTCGACCACTACTCTCTCGAACAAAGCGCATCTCTACTCTTTCCGTACGACAATGATCATTCCGCCTCCTCGTCCTTTTTTTTGATAGGTAGACCAATTTACTGACTCTCATCATCCTTCCCTTTCAATCCCAATAGGACAAGCGTGCACGTAAATTCATCAAGCGCCGTATCGGTACTTTGCGCCGTGCCAAGGGAAAGATGGAATTCTTGACCAACGTCATTGCCGAACAACGTCGTGCCGGACATTAAATGTGATTTGACGTTCGACATTCACTTGTTTCGATTACGATCATTGTATTGCAAGCATCATAGGTGGTATGATGAAGATCGGATAGAGGCAGTGACATGCTCTCAACTCTACTGCCGACTTCACCGTACCATTCATCCATCTCACATCTTCGGTTCACATCGACATTATTCATGACACACCATGTACCATTCATTCTATTTTTGTACGCATATGCGACATATACATATCTTTGAACGTGCAAACGTAACAACATACGTTTTGTCGTTCTAAAAAGCAAATCTACATGCACTATAACATCCAATCACGGGTGACAATGTGGGAATAAGTTAATAGAAGCTGTGTTTGATGATGGCTTTCATCGATTCTGTTTATTCAATGTGCAGGAGTCCTCCGTCCGACTCCTGCCCTTCATTAGTGTTTGACAATCAAGTTAGTTACGGGCCCATCACATTCGACTTCCCAGGCTGGAGTAATCGCTGATTGGCATCTTCTGTTGCGGGATTTGGAAATGGGAAAAGCCACGCAAGCATTAAAATACATAATCACTCTTCTGCGCCTACGGCTTTAACTAACTTATGGCATCATTAATTCCTCCACGCAGGCCCACAGCGAATAAGCAGTGTATTTTGAGTGGTTACAATTGACCGTGCAGAAGGTTCTCGGATCATCCCTTCCCTCTTTGCTGCTTCCAATCTCCGAACTTTGACACTTTCATCATACTATAAAAAGGTGCAAAAGGTCGTTTGGTAATCTTTGCATCCTTTTTGACCCAACCACTCAATCAAGCTGGCTACCATCTTATCCTCTCGTTCTTGGCGTATTGCAAAAGCCAATAACGTTACTTTACGTCAATTTAGCCAATCTCAACCTTCTTTGCTGCCCGTACAAAGTCGGACAGCTTATTCAACTTTCACCCTGTCTCAATCTTCATCCAGAAGTACACAAAAGACGGCAATCGAACGTCTTTCTAATCAAACTTCAATCCTAAGCAAATCACCCAAACAACCCTTCTCAACTTCTTCTGCAAAAATGCCTCCAGTTCCTAAACCAACTTCGGACAAATGGGATCTGATCGTAATCGGTGGTGGATCAGGTGCGATGGGCGTTGGTCGTCGTGCAGGTCAATATGGTAAAAAAGTTGTCATTATTGAAGAATCGGGTAGATTAGGTGGAACATGCGTAAATGTTGGTTGTGTTCCTAAAAAATTGATGTGGCATGCTGCTGATATGCGTGAAGCATTAGCAAGTTCACCCGAATATGGCTTTGGTACGGCAGACGGTAAACCCGTCAATGGCGTTCCGGAATTTCAATGGAAATATTTCACCGAAAAACGTGAAGCTTACATTCGTAGATTAAATGGTATTTATGATCGTAACGTCGCAAACGATAAGGTTGAATACCTTTCCGGTCATGCAGAATTGATCGGTAACGGTCAAGTTAAGGTCACTTTGCGTAACGAAGACGGCTCGTTCCAAGACGAAGGACACGTTATTTCCGGTGACCAAATTTGTATCGCTACTGGTGGACGTCCAACACAACCTTCTGATAATGATATCCCAGGTGCTTCTTTGGGTATCGATTCTGACGGCTGGTTTGACTTGCGCGAACAACCAAAGAGAGCAGCAGTCGTTGGTGCGGGTTACATTGCCGTTGAATTGGCAGGTGTGATGAACACTCTTGGCACTGAAACTCACTTGATCATCCGTCACGATAAGTTCTTACGTAACTTTGATCCGATCATCTCTGATACCTTGCAAGATTACATGGGCAAGACAGGCTTGAACGTTCATCAAAAAACCAACGTCAAACGTGTTACAGGTGAAAAAGGTGGACCACTCACTTTGCATTTGGATACCGGAAAGACTTTGGAGGTTGATGTTCTCTTATGGGCAATCGGTCGTCGTCCAAACACTGACAATCTCGGTTTGGAGAAAGCTGGTGTAAAGACTGACAAAAAGGGTGACATCATTGTGAACGAATTCCAAGAGACAAACGTCAAAGGCGTCACTGCTCTCGGTGACGTAGCAGGAAGGGCATTATTGACGCCAGTCGCAATCGCAGCCGGTAGAAGATTATCTAACCGTCTATACGGTCCTGATCATCTTCGTGGAAAGGATCACTTGAATTATGACAATATCCCAACCGTTGTCTTTTCCCATCCAACTTCCGGTACAGTCGGTTTGACAGAACCAGAAGCACGCGAAAAGTATGGAGACGACAAAATCAAGATTTACAAGAGTAACTTTGTTACTTTGTATTATGGGATGCTTGAACATAAACAGCCAAGTGCTTATAAATTGGTCTGTGTTGGACCCGAAGAAAAAGTTGTTGGTGTTCATATTGTTGGTTTGGGAAGTGATGAAATCATGCAAGGTTTCGCTGTCGCTGTCAAGATGGGTGCCACAAAGAAGGACTTGGATGATACTGTCGCAATCCACCCTACCTCTGCTGAAGAGTTGGTCACAATGAAGTGATCGAACCATGTATATATCAGCAGTGGCTACTTTTTCTAGAAAAATGCACTGTGAATTGTGAAGGATATAAATGTGAGAATCGAGCATCCCATTACAAAGAAAAGTGTGAAAGATATTATACATGTTTGTGCCAGACCTCTGATCCAACAGCTAGCAGAAGATTAAAAGCATTATCTCGATGAGGCATATTGCTAAAAAGCATGCTACCTTTATTTCTTCTAGTGATCTGTAAACCACTACTATTCCAAACGAGTAATTTGATACTCTTTGTTTTGATTAAACCGGTAATTTCGCCTAAAGGAGTTTTGCAGGTTTTATGACCACCTCGATTATTGAGATTGGCATGGGTATGTAAAGCGACAAAATAAAGCATTCGAGTTGTGACGTGTAAGTGACCGGGAACACCATGATGTTGACAGAAGAATGAACCGAGTTTACGTGGTTTTGACAAGATTTGACCACCGTCTAACACTTTTACGTCTTGTAAATCCATCAATTTTCCATCTTCCGCTTTATCAATTTCTCCATAGGCAACCGCATGTGCAGCAGCGGAACTTTGACGTAAGAAACGATTTTTCAATGCTGCCAAGTCACTCGTATGCTTTTTGTGCTTGCCTGTTGTTGGACTTTCACGACCGCTACTCAATCCACCACCGCTACTATCGGCAAAACGAGTGCTCATCGAAGTTCTACCGGCAGAGTCACTCATCGAACGATTACCCATTCCTGGCTGTTCAACTTCACCTTCTAGCGGAGGATGTTTGGCATGTTGTCTTTCCAAATGACGTCTTCGTAAAAGTTGAATGGCGAATTGCGCATCTGTTGGAGCGCCCCATAAAGCCCACCAAATCGGACTTAGAGGTCTTCGAAAACGTGGATAATGTGATTGCAAAGGCAACAGAATGAAAAACGTAAATCCAAGGAATGCAAAGACCGTTTTCCAAATCAAATGAGATGATGCAAATGTAACGAAAACGGTTGCGATCCCCAACAAGAATAATGTTCGCCATGTTGCTGTTGTATTACGCCATAAGATCAAATTCTTGACTTTTTCATGAAAATCTGCAATATCACCGGCTGCTAATTGCGTTCCTGATCCATAAGCGACAACGAAACGTTTATACAATTCCAAAACGTCCAATCTACTTCTCCTCCGCAACCTTTCGGCCAATCGATCTGCGTCTACACCACGAGCCATTCTTGCACGGACTTGAGCATGCAAAAAGCTTGCACTTGGAGGAAAGAAGCGGAATTGACAAACGTAATACATCAACATCAAAAGAAACGCTGTAGGTATAAGATCCAAATACCAAAGTGTAAAATAGATCATTGCGATAGATGACGTCCTTCTAGGATCTTCCCAGCGATAAATCCTTCGTAAGCCGAACAAAAGTCGTTCCCAAAATGGCGCAATGAGATACAGTCTTTCGATATGACTTCTTGTTCTGCTTTCTCGATAAGTTTGATCAGGTGTATTATCCAATTCTTCCGGTGCATACCTTTCTATACTTGCAAGAATGTATGCGATAGCCCATGCTATTCCATCCACCTGACTATCATCTCCACCTTCGACTTCTAGCTCTTCCTCTACTTCTTCTTCTTCCGCATTTTCCGCTCTTTCGAAAGCTTTCAAGCCCATATTGACATGTGTAAGAACTGTAACCCGCTTCCCTTGAGCGGCTGCCATTTCTGCTTCATCAGGTGGAATACGAAAATCTTGCCATCTAGGCATTCGTTTTGTGGAATAATTTGCAGAATGCGGTATTCGTACTTCTCTCGTATGCCGTCCAAAATTCTTAAGAAAGGAGTCTAACTCTAATTCTTCCAATTCCATCAATGGCTTTGCCAAAGCTGGATTAGCTCCTCCACTGGCGATACTACGACTTCCATTTCTGCCATCTTGATCGAACGATTTCAAACTGATCACGGATGGATTGGCGGGCGGTGCTTGATGTGGTTCAGCGATACTGGATGCATACGAATGAAGAGTCGAAGCTGTTGCTTCTGAATCTTCACTATTCCGCCTAGATTGATGTCGTGAATTCGGATGGGATGCATATATAGGATGTGAATGTGAATGTTGTCGTTCATGCAATTCCCCGGGAAACGAATGTTGTTCTTCCAAGGTTGGATGATCAGGTTTGAATTCTTCTCTCTGTGGTTCAGGATGAATCCTTCTCCAACGTTCTTCTGGCGTTTGAGGTTTACCATGTCCTCCTAATCCTCCACTAGAAGCAGCAACATAACCATTGGCACTATCACGTAACTTTTTCGTATTTTTTGCTGCTTTAAGTTCTCGTTTGATTTCTTCTTCTTGTTCTTTTGCTAACTTTTCTTTTAATTCTTCTGCTTGTAGGAAATCAGCAAAATCTCCTTCTACATCTTGTGCTGGTGTATGTTTGCCGCTTGAAGAATTGCCTGTATGGTGGTGATGCTGTTTACTCATCTTCTTTGCCGTTCTTCAAAAAGCATCTTTTTTTTCGGTGTGATGAGTTGTTGATGGTAGGTATATGGTTGCAAGAAAGAAAGAAAGAAAGTGTACTCCATTTGATGGTGATCACACTATCACCCATTGACATCTCGATCATGTGAAAGCCCCACTTTGACAGTTTCCTTCTCTGCGCTAGTGCATGCATTTAATCAATTCGGCTCATCATCTTTGCCGGCGTATGGCTTTGGTAAGGGGTGGATTCCCGCTTAAAAGTTTATTCCACGGTATGGCGCCTGTCTAAATGCGTATGGGAAAATACTTTCCGAAAAAAAGTGCTTATCAATTTAATTATAGAAAACTGTCAGGAACCAAAACAAACAAACAAACAATAAGAGGTCTTGTTTTCACGATGTCATATAAAAGTACATTATTGGTAGAGATGAATCATAGATTTAAATTCTTGCTTTCACCCATTGTTCCAATCCACCGGCAGTCCAAATCTCTTGAACGGCTTGACCAACACCGGCAGGCGTAGTTGTGTATTGTTTAGGCGGTTGACCGTTTTGCAAATCCAACGTAACACGACCGTTTGTGCTATCGATTGAAATTGTTGCATTTTCCAAGACAACACTTATTTCACCTTCTTTTTTACTTCCATGATTTCTTTCTCCATCTTTGGCATATTCTTTCGTCAAATCTTCCACTAATTCAGGACATTCTAAACATACCAATCCATTGTTGATCGCATTTCGTTTAAAGATATCACCAAACGATCCACTGATCACCATTGGAACGCCAGCATATTTCAATGCAGTGGCAGCTTGCTCACGAGAAGATCCAGTTCCGAAGTTGTATCCACTGATCAAAATCGCTCCACTCTTGATAGAAGAATCATCTGCGGACTGTTGTTGGCTTAGTAGGGAGGAGACCGTACCTGCAAACGATGGATCATAGTTCTCCATGACCACCTGAGCTTGCTTCTCAGGTGTTATATCATCTTGATAAGTGTATTTACCAGGGTAGATACCATCAGTGTTGAGATTGTCCTGAGGTGCAAAGATGAGAGGACCTTTGAATTGGGAAGGGAAGCCAGGCAAAAGGTCATTCTTGGATGCAGTTGCAGTTGCGTCATTAATCTCTTGCATAGGAGTTGCTTGTTTAGCATTGACTTCGATGGAGAATTGCAAACCGCTTTGGCCAGGTACGAGACCGCCTTCCAGTTCGTTCGGACCGCAGATACGACCTTCGATAGCACTTGCAGCAACTACAGCAGGAGAGGCCAAGTATGCCTTTGCGTTTGGACTTCCCATTCTTCCCTTATAATTACGATTGGTAGCACTAATTCCCGTCTCTCCATCTTCCAACAAACCAACACCTAAACCGATACATGGACCACAGCCTGCCGGTAATGGTTTTGCACCTGCTGCCAATAATGCACCCCAATCTCCTGATTCTTCACTTTCCCTTTGTACGACACTACTTGCTGCTGCGACGTAGAATTCGACGCCTTTTGCAACCTTTTTACCTCGAATCACTTCTGCTGCCGCTTTCAGATCAGAAGCACGAGAATTGACGCAAGAGACTAGATAGGCTTTTTGAATATCGATATTCTGCGCAGATAGCTCTGCTAATGGTGTGCTGACTTTGACGCTGTTTGGACCACTAACATGAGGAGCAAGAGTGTTGAGATCAAGTTTGAGATGTTTAGCATAAAATGCATCTTGATCGGGTCGGATGATGTTGCGTGACAATTCCTCCAATCGTTCCATATTTAATCTGGGATGAGATTTAGATGGAGAAGGAGAAGATCCCATTTGGAAGTGCAACTTGTCCAACTTTTTGATCTGCTTTTCGTACCAAGACAGTGTCACATCATCGACTGCGAACACACCTGCCAATGCACCCCATTCCGTCGTCATATTGCTGATCGCCAAACGTTCATCGATTGTCAATCCTGCAACACCCGAGCCTGTAAATTCAATAGCAGCATTCAAAACTTGATCTTGATTGAAATAACCACACAAAGCGACTATCACGTCTTTACCTGTAACACCTTTTGGTAATTGACCGCTCAATTCTACCTTTACCACAGGAGGAATCTGCCACCATGTTTGACCGGTTGCCCAAATTGCAGCAGCATCCGTTCGTACTACCGGAGTTCCCACGCAACCGACACCTCCGTACATGTTACTGTGACTATCAGAAGCGACGGCCAAAGTTTGAGGGAATGCATATCCTTCTTCCACCATGACTTGATGTCCGATTCCGCGTCCGGCAGGATAGAAATCGATTCCTTGTTCTCTTGCGAATGTTTCAATTTTGCTATACTTCTCTAAATTCTTTGCACTCTTGTTTTGAACATCATGATCCAATGCAAATACGACTTGAGCTGGATTTCTGATCTTACTTGCACCTATCGATCGAAATTTAGAAATACAAGGACCGGTATTATCATGAGTCATAACTTGACCAGGACGAATGCTAACATAATCGCCTGCTTGAACTTGATGACCTGCTTTCAAATCAACTGCATATTTTTGAACAACTTTTTCGATAAAAGATTGAGGTGTTTCGGATGAAGATGTTGTAGGAGCATGTGTTGCTAAAGTACGCTTGAATGAAGGGGATGAAGTTCTTATTCTTGCGCCTGCATGGCGAAGTAAGGTGGTATATGTCATGTTGAGAAGGGTGTATGATGGTATATCGGAATAAGATGTAATCAAAGGTGAATGATTGGAGGATGCTCTTTTTGCACTCCGTTATCGGACGGTGACCGTAGAGTGTTCTTTTGCCTGTGCTCCTAAACGGGAGGGGGGATCCAAACGAGAAGAAATGCATGCATGCTAATCAACGCAAGCACGCGACTTTTTATATGCGATTATGCCGCGCCAATAAGAAGAATGTCAGTTATTAAGCGGACTTAAAGTGGAAGAAAGTGAAATTAAAGCTCAATCACCATCATCGATCATTTAAGGGGAAATGACTGCATTGCACAACAATGTAAGATCATTGGGTCTTTCGATAGTCAAGCTTGCTGGATATAGAGGAATACAGAGAAGCGTATCTGCGTCCTCCTCCAGATATCTATCAACCGAGTCCCAAAGTGAAGAAACAGCAAAAGAGAAGCGAAAGACGATCTTTTCCGGCATCCAACCAACAGGAATACCGCATCTAGGCAACTATTTGGGAGCATTACAGAATTGGGTAAATCTCCAAAATGACGCAGACAGGAATGGAGATGAACTATTCTTTTCAATCGTTGGTTTACATGCATTAACAGTGCCAAACGATCCAAAGAAGCTTTTTATCGAAAGAAGAGAAATGATGGCAGCACTTTTAGCAGTTGGAATTGATCCGAATAAAGTTACTCTATTCCATCAAGATCAGGTACCAGAGCATACAGAGTTGGCTTGGATATTAAATTGTATCACGCCGTTTGGAAAATTGAACAGGATGACAACTTGGAAGGTGAGTAAAGAAGATTGATATAAAGAATGAATATTCTCTGACACCCTCCTTTTCTTACCCAACAGTCAAAGCTGGCAACCCTTCGATACAGAGGGTCAGAGCAGGGCATCGATGAGACGGGTTTATGCTTAGGTCTGTTCGCCTATCCGGTCTTACAAGCTGCTGATATCTTACTCTATCGAGCAACACACGTACCCATCGGAGAAGATCAAGTTCAACATTTAGAACTTTCAAGAGATTTAGCCGATTTATTCAATAAAACATACAAGAAACGACAATTTCCTCTACCACAACATATCATCACCCCTACAAAAAGGGTTTTATCTTTACGGAATCCGAAACAAAAGATGTCTAAATCATCTCCTGATGTCAATTCACGTGTGTTGCTAACCGATTCGGATGATGTGATCAAAGGAAAGATCAAAAGGGCGATAACGGATACAGAACCGACGATCTCGTTCGATCCAAAAGTTCGACCTGGAGTGAGCAATTTGTTGTCAATCTTATCGGCTTTGGATACAATAAGATCACCGCAAGAATGGGCGGATGAGTTGAATCAAAGAGCAGGCGCAGAGGGTGGAGCGGGAAGGATACTGAAAGAAGCTGTAACGGACACAGTGATTTCTGCAATCCGACCTATAAGAGAAGAATATCAACGATTACAAAAAGATCCAGGTCATTTGCTCGCAATGGAACAACTTGGAAAAGAGAAAGCACAAGAAAGAGCTGCAAAGATCATGCACCAAGTTCGTCGATTGGTAGGTCTCACCTGAAAAGAGGATTGTAACATAGATGCCATTATATTGTACAAAGAGAAAAAATTGAGTCGAAAGTATGATGCAAGCAAGATCGCAATTCATGCCAGATTTAGAATAAGCTTTTCTACCAATGTCTGAGCTTCCTTGTGAATAGTTTCGTAATCCTCACTATAACGTGCGCTATCGCCGGGAACGATCATCACGCATGACGTTGCTCGTTTTGTACCTGCAGCTTCACCCAAGCTCTCTTTGTTGGGAACGAAAACGTAAGGATTGCCCGCTTCTTCAGCACAGATGGGAAGATGGCAGTAAATGTCGATTGGGTAGATATCGCCGGCCAAGATCACAAGACCTTTTGCGCCTTTCTTTAATGCTTTTTCTACTTCTTTGACACCACGTTTGACGTGCTTCTCTTTGGAAGCTTTTCTGATGGTTTTGAATAGCTTCTTTTGCAGCTTACGTTCGGCTAATGGGTGTGCGATTGGGTTGAGGTTTGCGACTACATCGGAAACACCATCCATCTCTTCATCTTCGTCCTTTTTGGCCTTCTTGGACTTCTTTACGGAAGAAGCCGTTGAAGCCACCGACATATCTCCTACAGCCATTTCTCCTTTACGTGTGATTCGTTATGTTTATCGGAGAGCTTCTTTTAATGTCCGAGTAGGACGTAAGAAAAAGCTTTTTTGTGATGGTGACAGATTAAGAATCTAAGAAACAAAACTTCGCGCAGATAGACTTTTTGCATCACGTGTAGATTAGGCTGTTTTTCGTACCAAAAAATAAAAATGCAAAAATAAATGCAATAACGGCGAATCGAACGCCGGTCGCATCGAATTTACGCTATCAGCTGATTGGCAACGATGCATTCTACCACTGAACCATTATTGCTTATTCATGTTAAATGGAAATTTTGATAGAATATATTCTGTATACATTCAGAGAATCATTTGGTTCATCCGAGATTCAATCAATCGTCCATATCTACAGAAAAAATAATGTTTTAATCGTGAAGTCTTCATTGGATTGTCATCCAAGATCGTCTGTAGCACATGACGAGCAATAGGATAGACAAAACTTAATCTTGCGTATGTCATATGGTAAGGCTGTGTAAATTAATAAAGTTTTTGTCGCCGCGAATGTTAATTTTGCTTCAAAAATAAAGTTTCAGACGATTCATACAATTACGATTTACCCCTTTTCAGCCTTTCATCACTTGTTTCCATGCGAAATCGCACTCTTTCGGTCTTGTTTGTACTCTCTTTGAGTATCGTAGGAGAGGCGGCAAGAATAAGAGGAAGAAATCGTGAATTAGACCAGTCTAGTTTACTGGAACCAAATAAAAATGCAGGAGATTTACTCGAAACATTACGATTTCAAGATCATACACCTAGACAAAAGCGAACCGAGCGTATGCTAGTACCTTCGATCCGCTATCAAAGTTACTACCAACGTAAAAAAGCCGAAAAAGATCGTGGTGATAAAGAAGCAAATGCATGGTTTGAGAAAAAGCGGGAATATGAACGAAAAGCTCGAACCGAGCTTACAAAACGAATTCGATCGGGTACGTATAGTACAAGTGATTTAGAACAATATCAAAGGAGACTTGAAACTAGTCGAAGATATGAAGCAAAAAAATATTCAGAAATAAAGAAAAGTAGATCAAATATACCTGAAAGATATAAAAGTTCTTATCAACGTAAAAAAGAAGCAAAAGAACGTGGTGATAAAGGAGCTATTGCTTGGTTCGCAAATAGAAAGGAGACTAGACGAAAAAATGAAATGGAATTGACTAAACGGATTCAGTCGAATACATATTCTACCTCTGACTTGGAGAGACACCAAAGACGTGCCCAACGATCCAAGAAATACAGACACAAACAGAAGAAATTGGAGCCTGAGCACCTATCGGATAGTTAAGCTTTTGTGTTTTTATGCAACTTTGCATATTTGTGTATAAAGACACAGCCACGAAACTACTTCGAAACCTACTCAATTGCCTATTTAACATTTTCACGAATATATCTTTATCTCCATCACTTACAAGAATGTTTGCCATCATTTTCACCTTGTGTCTTTATCTAAGCTTCTTAGGTAAATGCGAAGCTGTAAGCATTAGAGGAAGAAGAAATCAGAGTAACGTCGTTGTACAAGCAAATACTGCTGGAGACCAAAATCGATCCGCCGTACCAAAAGTGGATAGCTTTCCTGAACTAAAGAAAGGGCACACTCTTAAAGGAAGGCGCACGATTCGGAAAGCAAGAACTTTCGGTGCCAACATGAATCAAGCTCATGGAACGAAGAAATCACTCGATGTCAGAATGAATAAGGAACCAAATGCTAGTATCCCTACACAAAGTTCAAAAGAAGTAACAGTGAAACCATCAGATGCAGAACGAAAATTAGCAAATTTTCGAGCATTTTATCAACGTAAAAAAGTAGGTAGAGAAAGAGGTGATAAAAAAGCAAAAGAATGGTTTAAAGTAAGATCTGCAAGAATAAATGAAAGAGAAACCGGTTTAACTCAAAGAATGAAAACGGCTAAATATACGCAAGATGATTTGGAACGTTATCAAAAACGAATTGCACGTCATGCAAAATATAGGGAAAAACAAAAACGAACAAAGATAGATCTCAATCAGGTCCCTACAGATCGAAGCAGTCGAAAAAATCGAGAAGATTGGACAGATGGTTTATAATACAGTAATGATACATTGTTATAGTTATTGCTGTTTTGGAGGTTGTGGCGGTCTTGACCAAAAACGCAAGAAACGCATCCGTATCCCTTCCCAATCTGAAGGTGCTGGTCTAACGTCCAGATAAAAAGCCAAACCTTTCATATCACTTCTTCCGCTATAAAAATCAATGATATATCTAACCCTTTTTCCGCATCGATCCACCTCCCAATCATGTCTATCAAACGGTCTTTCATACCCTAGAAATGTTTTGAACCAAGCTCGCCAGGTTAGCTCTTGTGGCTTGCCTTTAAAGCTCACAAGTTGTGGCCCTCCACAGGTTTGATAACTCTTTCCCTTGTCGGCAATTCGTTCCCATTGTAAGATCTGTTGCCAAGCACGTTCATTTACTGCATTATGAATAGGTACGACCACATTCATATCTTGCTCTTGGGGATTATGATTCTTTCGTGCCATTGCTGAGTAGAATTGAGCCGGCGAAGGATAAACCCAATTAGCTTGTGTTGAAGGATCAACGGGTGCTGATTGACTGCTGTCATCCTTTGCACTTGCGCCAAATCGAGGTATAGATGAAATCACTCGATCTGTTGATAAATGCCCGGGTGCTTTATGCTGATCGCCTTTCTGTTGTGCAAGCCATGCTGATCGTGTTTCATGATCGACAGGACATGCTGATGCATCATTTGAAGTCATCTTGAATGGTGGAAGAAGAAGTGGAAATGCTTTTCCGTAAATTACCTAAAACTTTAAAAAATTCCCCTGCATACATCCCGATTTCCGCAACACACGCTTAAGCGTCACTAACATACAATCATACACTTAGCCACACAGATTCAATCATAATTGGTAATAGCTTCATAAACGCTCTCAAATGGTTACAAATAGATTCCACACTCCTTTGGCATATCCAACAATTTCATCACCACCCAACTTGCTCTCTCCGTATACGCGATCGACAAACACGATTGGACATTCAGCGATCGAATAACCCAGAGCACGAGCACGAACGAGGATTTCCATCTGGAACACATATCCTTTCGAAGTGGCTTGTCTCATAAGTTTATCAATCACATCCTTCTTGTACAATCTGTAGTAGAGGACTATGTCAGTATATGCATAGAGGTGATAGCCTTAGTCGCACCACTCACCTGAAAGATCCCGTTACATCTGTCGTTCGTGGTCCTAATACAAAAGAAGCCAACAGGTTCGCACCCCGAGATACCAACTTCCTTTTCAAGTTCCATCCAAACACACCCGCTCCTGTTGAAATACCGCTGTAACGAGTTCCCTGAACGATATCTACTCCTTGTTCGGTCTGCATGCGGATCATGTCGGGTATATGCTTAGGCTGCAAGAAGATCATAATGAATGTCAGTACTTGTAATTGGGTTTCATGTAATCAGATACTCACATGATGTGAAAAGTCAGCGTCCATAATGATGACAAAATCACCTGTACATGATTCCAGTCCATGTACATAAGCCGTTCCTAAACCAAGTTTTCCCGCTCTTGGTCTAAGTACGATATGATTTTCACCCCAAACTTTTGCGCATTGTTTTGCAATTTCTTGTGTTCCATCAGGAGAGGCATCATCAACAATAATGATTTCATAATCGATTTGATGTTGTTCAAATGTTGTACAGAGTAGGTATAAGATTACCGGAAGATTTTTACGTTCATTGTAGGTTGGTAAGATTACGCTATACTTGTGACCGGCTGCTCCTGTTAGGCGTGTGTTTACGTTTGATGGCATTGTGACTATATGTGATGGTAATGTTCGAGCTGCGAATGAAGCGGGTAAGCTCATGGAGCTTGTTTGAGGTGATCGTCGAAGTAGTTGGGAAGGTTTGTGTGTTGGTTCCTGAAGTGATGTTGTTGCTGCTGCACGCGTTTAGAAGATGCACGGACGCCTTTGCCATAAAAAGGAAGAAATAGGATAAACCTTTTTGTTTTGGAACAAACACCATCAATGCTACTTTCATCCGAAGGAAGATGAACAGTGGTATGCTGATACGATCGATTGGATGCAAGATACGGCAGAATGATTTCCACCTACGAAAGAGATGCATGAGCACAATTGCAGATTCACTACGAAATGTCATGCGAACGTCAGCTCAACCGGTTGCGGTAATCACAACGAATCTCTCCAGAATAAAAGATGATGACAATCAATACGTACATGGTGCAACATTATCAAGCTTTACAACCGTCTCGCTTGATCCGCCTTTGGTTGCTTTCAGCTTACGTATCCCGAGCAGATTAGCAGATGCATTAACAGAAGGAAACACACAGAACCCTACACAACCGCATTTTATTATCAATATCTTGAGTCAAAAACAAGAAGTAGCAGCTGCTGGGTTTGCTAAACCTGGCTTACCACCTTTTCCACTTTCTGCCCTCGACGAGCAAGCTGCAAAGGACAAGATAAAAGGACATGGAGATGAACCTCACCCGTTCACGCAAATAGCAACCCATCATTCCGCCTCAACCGAACAGCCAGTCCTCGTGCTGAGCGAAAGTATAGGCGCTTTGGCTTGTAGTGTGATAAGTCGACATAATCTTCAACAAGAACATCCAAAACAAACCCAAAATACAGAAGGATCCGATCTATTCTTAGCAAAAGTACACGCTTTCGAAAAATTGAATACCCAAGAAAATCTTTTGCCTTTGATTTATTGGAATAGACGGTTTACCACGATTAAAAATTGAATAGAGAGAGAGAGAAAGGAAATGTACACTAGCGAAACATGGAATCTTTGAAATAGATGACGTGAGACTATGTAAAGAATTGATCGTGACACATGTATATGAGATTTGTGATTGACGTGCTGGGAAAAAGACCATGGAGAAAAAATAATCGGAAGAGTTACATTCCAAACATACCCGTTCCATCACGAACACGGGCTGCATCACTTGCACTCATATGAATCTTTTGCGATTGGAAGAAATCTTCAAAGATTTTGACCATCTCCGCTTCTCCACGTTGACGGTTTGGCAATGCACCTGGACTCGTTGCACCGGCTGAAGTTGGACTTGCATCTTCACGCATACATCTCTTTTCCAATAAGTCACGCAAATCCGTCCAAAAGCCCGTATCTGTGATTGTGGAATAGTGTAATCTTGATATACCACTTGAAGCGCTATTTGGACTTCCGGTAGATGATCCTCCCATCATATCATTGAGATTATTTGGTGTCAAAGATCTCTGACGATTATGACCGCCAGCCGAAGATGGTCCGCGTTTACCATCAATACCCGATTCATCCGCTGCATCTGGCGTCAAGATAAGCTCTGGAACGGAAACGTTGGAGGATGTGGTACGATGATGCACCTTTGCACCACGTTGTGCAACAGATGTGTCCAGAGTAGATGGTCTGTTTGGGGTTGCGACAGTAGCTTGTGGTATAGAAGCTCCGTTTGCTATGTTTGAAGAAGATGAATCAGCAGCATTATTTGCGCTTAATTGTTCGTACTGTTGTGGTGTATAAGTCTTTTGTGAGAATGCATGAAGTTCTGCGATTTGTTCTTTGAGTAGTTCATTAACCATTCTATGTCTCTTGAGCGTATTCAAACCTTCGAATGCTTCACTAACGATGATCACATCGTATGCTTGACCACATCCACCTGAAACGTCTGAAACAATCAAGGCTGAAACTTTTTCGACTTTTTGACGAATAGCCGCTTCTAGCTCACTTTGAGATACCATGTTTGCTTTTGTGTGTGAGAGTGATGGTAGAAGAAAGATGCTCGAGAATAATGTCATAACCTTCAAATTGCATGAATGCAGTGTTGGTCCGCATGGGGCGTGCATGTTTAAACACAAGCATGACCGGACCTCTAGCCTAAGGCGTACGTACGCGGGTGATAAATGAGATTTGGCGTGGCCGTGTTCTTTGCAGGACACACACAGTAGCCAGCGTAGAGGGAAAGACTGACAGGCTAAAGGCTGAACTTCACGTGTACGCGGGTAAATGAGAATGAATGCAGTATGAATAGCTAATTGCAGTTGAATTGCGCTTTCATTCCATCACCGATCATCTCATCAATTTACGGTGAAGACCATAATACAGTACGTACACTGTACAGCAAGCATCCGACAACTACCAAACTAACATTCTTGCTCCTTCCTCACAGAAATGCCACAACTATATCGTGACCCATGGGCAGCAAGAGAAGCATGGCGTAAACATCCAGTCTTTTCCAACAAATTCATGTTCCGTAACTTCATGCCGGGTTTCGCATTGGGTGCAGCAGCTTTCGGTGCCTACGTCGCTGTGGACAGCTTATTCCATCCAAGCAATATCGAAAAGCTCAAAGAAGAAGCAAAGAAACAACGTGGAGAAGCATAAATCACGCACACACAAACCCAAAGACAAATTTTGTACATTTAGGAGAGAGAAGATAAGAACACAACAAATCTCATTTTCACATTTATGAACCATACTTTTCTACTAAAGCGAATGCTAATTCTTTCAAAGTAGGTGCAACGATATCCATCTCGCCCCATAATTCAGTCACGCTTTCACCTTCGTAAGCGGTACAATAAGCAGTCTTGAAACCTGATTGTCTGGCACCGGCTAAATCCCATGCATGAGCAGCAGCAAAGATGTAGACATCATTGGGAACAACGTCTTTCATTTGACGTAAAGCTGAATCATAAACAACTTTATCCGGTTTCGATCTTCCCATTGCGTCGGCTGAGATGATTCGATCTTTTGGAATTGTGATGGAAGTTGATGCAAAGCAATCGTTCAACCTATTCACATCCGCATCTGAACATGCCCAAACGGTAAATCCATTTTGACGTAAAATGGTAAACATTTCTTCCATTCCTTCTCTTGGTTGAAGTTTACCGTATTGACTAACGATATAATCGATATCCTCTTCTTTTGCAAACGATTTTGCATTTTGAATATCAGATTGGAATAACGTTTGAGTAAAGGTATATTTGAGTACTTTTAAGAATGGGACATGCTTTCCATCAATCGATCGAATGTAGTTTGCATCACGGTCTGCTAAGAATCGCCAAGCAGCATAAAATATGTTGGGAGAGATGCCAGCCCCTCTCAGCTTCTCACCTAGACGTTGCTCAAGAGCTTGCAAACCTGCATCATAGGTGAAGCAGGTTCCAATAATATCAAATGCGATCGATGGCATGATGTACAAGAGAGGCTGATGGGGCGGATCAAGATCCCAAACATACTTTAATTGCCTATTTATACGTCCCATAATAACGGGTGACTCCCTCATCACTATGAGACATGAGACAACAGAAAGGCTCGCTCCGGTACCGACTAAAGGATGTGTAATCTCGCAATGCCTTTTGATGCATCACGCATCATGCTAGTGCCCATAGAATGGGTCAAGCAAGTCCGACGATTGATGAGCTAATTAACAATGACGATTGGAATAGTATTACATGGGGTGGGGTATATCGCTGCTCCTGCTCCTTCTGATATGTCTCATGCCTTCTCCTTTCCTTTTTCCAGGTGTGAGAAATTATCTTCGGAAGCATTTTCGGCGCCGGTGGCTTTTCGTTTAACGTGATCAACTTCTTGCAAGAATTGATTACCTTCGTTCATTTTTTCGGCTTCATCGTTCATTCTATCAAGCCAACGTTGTAATAAACTTGCATTATCACGTTTAAGGTCTTCATTTCGAATTTCAACTTGATTAAGCTCAAGGGAAAGTGCCGATAATTCATCTTGTAATAACTGAATCATCTTGTCTTTTTCTCCTACTACCCCTCGAAGGTCTTCTTCTTTACGTTTCAAACGAACCATTTCGTCTGTCGTCTTTCGGCTTTCGTCAGTCTGTTCACGTTCACGTTCGTCTTTGTTTCGAATTTGTTCGTTCAGCACCAGTAGCCGCTGTGCATTTTGAGATTGAGTTTTGTATAGTGTTGCCAATTCGTCACGCATGGATTGTAGCTGACCTTCCAATGAAGTGATGTATGCTTGTTTCACAGCTGTTCCTTCACCCTCTGCTGCCACTTTTGTCGATGATGTCGCTGCACCATCAGAAGCTGCCAATAGTGATTGATTGCGTTCTTTTTGTTGTTTAGCATACTTTGCCAATCTTTGATAATTGCCTACTAAATCATCGAATTCTCTCTCGCGATCATCACGTTCTTCTAGCCGATGGCGAATCGTAGTCTGCCATGAAGACGTTAGAGCACACATGCTGCAATGTATGGTATGGTGATCCTCATCACCATCTAAAGAGTTGTACTCTAGTTAAGGTTGCATTCATCCCAAAACGCGGGCGCACGGGCCTGAAGCCCAAACACGTGCAATAGAAAAATTTCAATGCAGAAAAAAGTTTAATTGCTCACCATCATCACTATCCTTCTCAGTAATCATCACGACAAACTTCAAAGATGCGATTGCTAACGCACAATCTGTTGGCATGTCATTCGCGGCATTGTACACAAACATCGAACAATTTCCCACTGAAATTCAAAGATGTCAAATTGGAATTGTTAGAGACTGATTTTAATGAAGCATTCATTCGTGGATTTTTACCGAAATTGGATTGGAATGCTTTGGTTCTTACAGCGAGGGAATTGGGAGATACTTCTTTACCCGAACAAGGACCGGATATGGAAGACCCGATGTTGGATCAGCAGATCTTGCGGAATTTGCATCACGTACTATTAGAGGTGAGTATGGCTTGAAAGGAAGGAAGATGGTATGGTTTTTTGGGCTAAGAAGCGGGAATGGCAGCTCAGGCTTCTATAGCACAGAGAAAGACAGATCAGACATAAAGCACTCTCAATGCTTGTGTTTGACAAGTCATATTATGTCACCCCCAGTCTGCAAGGCACTCTTATCATTATCGCATAAATCTAATCTTAAACACTGCCTCACTTTTTAGGTCCACATAACAGAGGGTTCTATGATCTGTCCAAATTGCTCACATAATTATCCGATTCGCAATGGAATACCGAATATGGTGAGTGTGGAGAAATAAACAAAGGTGTCACACTACAGTGCACCTTTTTGTTTGATATGCTGATCTAACCTTTTTCTCTCCTTTGTTCCCGATCTTCTTAGCTCTTGGCCGAACATGAGATCGCACGGTAAAAAGTTGACATTTTTCATTTTCACACTTTGTATATTACACAATCACTTAAAAGCACGATGATGCAAATCCTAGCATACTAAACCATCTTTAGGGCGCGGGTATGAACACCCTCATACGCATCTCCTGCTTAAAACCCCGCCTCGTACAAATATTCTGGAGCTGGAGAATTTTTTTTCAACAGCGCGGCTTTTGCCAGTTTAACTCGTTTTGTGCCTAGCTCGGCGAACGGTGAAAATTTACCTCCACCATTTTCTCGCTTTTTTTATAGTACGCCTCTTACGCGCGTTTGCGCAGCGCAGAGCAATACATAGACACGCCTGCCGCTTTCCCTTTTGGATCTTTGGAGGGATGGTTTGAAAGACAAGAAGTGCATAATTGACTGAAATTGTGCCTTTTGCCCCACGTTTAATAAAAGGATTGGCTAAGACAAGACTGTAACTGGCTTTCATGCAATAGGTACGATAGAAGTCTCCGATGAATGCATGCATTTCACATGCTCCTCACCAAGCGAATAACTGTCAAATGCAATGACTGCTTATATATCCATGACAAGAAACTTTTGAAACATTGCTTCCCGCCCATCATCACCTCCCATAAAAAATATATCCAAGATGACCACAAAAGCTGAAGTTCCACAAGCAGCAGGTCAAAAACCATCAAAGAGACCTTCAATGGGAGAACAAAGATTAACAGATTCATACGTACCAACAATGGCTCCCGACAATGCATGTGACGAACCTGCTCCTTCCGCTCCAGGTGGCGCAGGAAAGGATGCAATCGCAAAAGATGCAAACACAGGCGCCGATTACGATAAGGTTTATGGTGTTCGTCCAAAAACGTAAGTGTGGCAAACGTGATTGTGGTCGACCGTGAAAATATTTATACTAATCATTTTCTCTTTTTTCCTCATTATAGTACATGGCAATTGAAGCCTCACCGTGAATGGACATTATGGGAATTCATTGCGTCCCTCGATATCTGCCCTGAATCGGCTTATCAACGTAGAGATAGCAAAGCACCAATGCGTGGACCACCACCAGTACGACCAATGCACGAAGAGAATGCATTCATTCTTTCAACCGCTTCCGTTCCATTGGTCTTGCACGCCGCATGGAACTACTTTGTTCCCGATCACAAACTCCACCCGGTTCCTGGTTGGATTCTATACCATTTGGCTTTCATCGGTTTTGCATTCGTCATGATCGGAAGATTGCACAAGTACATGGCAAACTACGGTACATTCGACGAACAAAACCGTGGACGCGACATGGTTGATGACCGTCACGTAAACCATTTGGGACGATCAATTTTCATTTACACCGTTTTCAGAACCCTTGGACCCTTCTTGCTTGCCTGGAGAGGAGATATGACCAACGTTTTCGAAGGTTTGCACTGGACAACGCCTCTCAAGATGGCATGGTGGGAAGTTGCATTGGATTATTGGTTCTACCTCTACCATCGTTCTTGTCACGAGTTTGACTTCTTATGGTTCATCCACCGTCAACATCATGCAACCAAGCATCCCACACCAATTCTTTCCATTCTAGCAGATGATTATCAAGAAGTTTTGGAAATTTTCATCATTCCATTTTTGGCAACGGCAGTTACACCAAAGATGTCATTCATTGAACTTTGGTTGATTATCAATTATACACTATACGTTGAAGCTTTAGGTCATTCTGGTATTCGTGCAATTTGGCCACATCCAATTTTAGGTTTGGCTTTACGTCCTTTTGGAATGGAATTGGCCGTTGAAGATCATGACTTACATCATAGATTCGGCAAATCAGGAAAGAACTACGGAAAACAAACTCGTATTTGGGATCGTTTGTTTGGCAGTGTAGGGGAGAGAATTGAAACACCCTATACGGGATATTTGGGCAACTGATCGTCATTCCAGAATTGCAAATACACCATCCCCAGCATTCACCGTGACCTGCGCGCGCGCTCTCTCTTATTATACACCTTCTAATTATACACTACCCGCTTCTGCCTTGTATGCTTTTATTTCCCTTGCTTTACGTGAAGATATCAATAGAATGAAAATATTGAAGTGAAAAAATGTGTGTGTGAATGTGTATAACCACTTACGTTGGAAGACATCGAAGCGGATTGAACAAGCCATCTTATTTTGCCAACAAAATGATCCAACGAGCACGAGCAGATGCGTTGACGGACCAATTTTCTCCTTTGTAACGTTCTTTCAACTTCTCCTCTTACCGACCTAATACTCAGATGAAAAAATTGCACTTCAACCGCCGATCGAGAGTGGTGATGCATTGAAGGCGATCCGACAAGCTTCGTTGGGTATATGCTGAAACAGCTTTAAGCGATGAACTATCTTCTGCTGATCAAACAGCATTTCAAATGTGCAGCGCTCAACATGACATCATTCAACGGGCAAACAGATTTATTGAATGATGTACAAGCAGTAGAATATCGAGAAACCTGCAGCAAAGGACGATCAAAGATGATGAAAACGTTTAGCATTCTATCCTTCATCCTCGTACTTCTTTCATAGATGCAGATGAACCTATCGTCAAGATTGTTCAAATGCTTGGGTCGACTTAACTTTGGCTTCGATGTGGGATTCTTGGTTGAGGGAACGTTCATGCGGTTGGGATATGCTGAGATTGAAGGAACAGCGAGAGAATGGCTTTCACCGTGTACCGGAAATTTGGGCAACTAAGCTTATTCCTTGCAAGTCCGTCGCATAAGCTGATACAATCAGCTCTTGTGCTTCACATCATATCTACCCATTCTGCTTCTACTTTGTATGCTCATACTCGATCTTGCAAACAGAAAAATGAATTGATAAAGTGTTTCAATACAAGGTATTTGCGTGCGTGTATACTGAGAATGACGATGATGACAAACTACGACAGAGAATGATGATGACAAACTACGACAGAGAATGATGATGACAACCTACGACAGGAAAGATGATAATTATACAAAAATGATGCGTGCATTTGTTGCTTTGGGTCTATATAGCTTCGTATGGTGTATCGTTTTCCGTTGGCGGACAATCGGGCGATCGATACCAACCTGAACGTAAAAGAGTGATATAAGCGCGAATGTGTTCGTTTGGCTTTCCGCCATCGAAGAGATGTTCAACTCGGCGTAATTCATGTCGAATTTGACGATCGACATGCAATAAGACTTGACAAGTATAACGAAAGCTATTCGTACGATCTTGCATATATTGTACAATTGCTCGCTTTTTGTTCGCTGCTCTTGGCTTTTCACGCAATGCTTTGATGAATTCCTCGTGATTGTGAATCTTTACCGATGGATCATTTGCACTTTCCTTTTCCAACACTACCAAACCTTCCGAGCTTGGCGAAGCAGGTTCCAAAGGTGAATCGTAATGAGGCGCTCTGGTATCTTTGGATGGGCCCATTTCTTTCTTTGGCGAATGCAGAACGTCCGAACAATTTGAAGCTGACATTTTCGTACTCTTTTCCGAATCCGTTGAACTTTCTTGATCCGTTTGACGACGGGAATGACAAGACAATTCCGCAATTCTTTTCTCCAATTCGCTCGAAAAAGTCTCACTGCCTTTGTGCATTGACATGGGTAAGCCATTGTTCTTCTCGCCAATCATTAATCGGCTCGCGGTGATAGCATGAATGAGCGGAAATGAGAACTTTCCTTCGGATAAATCATCGCAGTATCCTTTGTTCTGCGTATAATCACCCGAACGCAGATTCATATAATCATCGCGAATTTGGTATTGCAATCCGATCAAATTGATCAGCGTAACGATTGGGTCCCCTTCAGCAACTGATTTGAGTCGCGAGCTTTGTCCAATCATTAGCCTACACGCTACCCGGAACAATCCTCCGGTTTTGTTGTTGACCATTTGAATGTACTCTTCCTCGCTTGGACAGATGAAATTTTCTCGTAAATACAACTCCATACCTTGTCCGCGATGCAAATTGATCATCTCTTCCATCATCATCCGTTGAACGCCTTCAGTGTTCATCAAAGGTGTGTGTCCTGGCACTTTGACATCCGACATTTCAATCAATTGGTTTATACCCAAGAAATAAACGTAATTTGCCGCATTGATCGTAAGAGGTACGCCGTAAACCATGTGAGAAGAAGGTCTTCCCCTTCTTAATTCTGATCCATCTTCGATATCATCGATCATAAGACTACTTGTATGCAACATTCTGATCGCATCATCGATACGCTTTAACTTTTCTTGTGGAACTTTTAACCACCAATCCAACGTATCGATCAATTTTGATCTAGCTCCATGACCGGGATTTGCATCCAAATAATCGTATGCTCCAAGCAACGCACGTTCGTTTGGTTCTGTCCATTTTGATTGAGATGCCAGTATATCACGAACACCTGCATACCAAGATGGATCAGGCATAGCGGATGAATGTCCGTTCATTGTGAAAAGATGTAGTGTGAGGGGTAAAGGATGAAATACGAGAAGCCGCTTTAAAGGGTCAACTGAGCTTGGATTGGATGGCGCAATGTAGGATCAGAATCCTTCTATGTGAGAGACAAAGACGGAGTAAGGAGAGGCAGTGAGGAAGGAGGGCCTTGTTTGGGTAGTCGTTTGTCAGAATGGATGATTTTGTTTTTGCGGGGCTTCAATGGCGAACAAAGGAAGGGGATTAAATAGGAAAGCACACCGGTACCTTTTTTCGGATGAGAATGCCTAAATTGTGTACGCCTTTTGGTTGTATTTTGATGATGTTAATCCTTGTGTTGATCGAGCTTTCTAAGGCACACAAGTTTACTTCATTGCCGATTTTGCTTATTCATTGCTCCACTCGGTAGCGGAGGGCGTTAAATTGTGTATGTGTGTGCGGAGAGAGGATGGTGTTTCCTCTTTGTTGTGGGATAGTGATGAGTGTAGAAAAAGAGAAAAGGGGGTCGGAGTTGAAAATGAAGCTGTGGTGATTACCAGCAAAAAAAGGCGGCGCAGCGCATACTCTCACGCCTTCTTACAAAAGTGATAATACCAAGAAAGCGCAGTACCGCTTCTTTCGCACATTTCTTACATCGATTCGTGGGTATAACGCCCTGAATTCATGTGGCTATAATCATTTCCGCTTCTCTCATTACCATGTATGCACAACGATCAACGATCAAAAGGGTCAAAAGTGATCAATATGCGGATAGCACTACCTAACGCCCAATCAAGGTGGGGGCCGTAATACAAGCCATAGCATTTACGTAAGCACGGACATTAATTAACTCAAACGCGCTCTACCGCTTAAGGTCCGAGTAAGAGAAACTTTTTATACTTGGACTAGAAGAACATTCTTGCTTATGACAACGAAGACATCATTTAGCCGTCGCCGCAAAGAAACATCATTCATATCACAAATGGCGAAGAAATCGAAAAGTACTTCGAATTCTACAACGGAATCAACTTCAAACGATGTTGGTCCAAGGCAAATTGGTGCATTCAAAACTATCAAAATTGCACAACATTGGTGTTATATGCGTGCTCATACAGGAGGAGAAGATGAAAGAACAATGTTCTTGGTCAATTTACCGATCGATACAACAGAAAAGCATATTCGAATAATATTTGCACAGGCTGGTCAAATTGAAAATGTGAAATTATGGAAAGGTAAAGGAGTAGAATTAATGGAAGAAGACGAAGAAGATGAAGAGCAACCATCAGGCTCAAGCAAAAAGGTCGTTCAGCAAATACCCAAGGTTGTACCTCTTCCTTCTTTTGACCCGAGAGACCCAAATCCATTCCTTCCTACTTCTACAAGCGCACATGTCACGTTCTTGGACGAATCTTCTCTGGCCAGAGCACTCGAAATTCACTCAGTCAAAGCCTGGCCTGATCCATTCAAAGACATCGAATCAGCGCAACAAAGACTGGATGAAGAAGCAGTAGAAACAAGCAAGCCAAATAAGAAGAGATCCAACACAGTTCGTACAGCAGAAGAAGCGGCGGCAAAATCCGCAACAAGTGCTCCTCCTGTTGGATTAGACTATTTGTTAGCCCGTCATCGAGCTGTCCGACCTGCTTCAAGCCTGGTGAAAGAGCATGCGGATAGCGTGATTGCTTTGTTCGAATATAGACTCAAGAATCCTAAACAGAAGTCTAAAGCGAGCACAGGTGGGATTGAAGCTGTTAGTGTTGGTCCAAACGGAGAAATGTTGGACGCAGATGGATTCATTATTGTTCAGTCTACCGGAAAATATGGTCGAACAGCTGACGCACAAGGAGGAAGCGTTCGTGTTGCTCGATCACGAGCACAAGGTGAGCGAAACCGCGGAGCAGATGACGAGCCTGCAAAGAAGAAGAAGAGATTGGAATTGGACGATTTCTATCGATTCCAAAGAAGAGAAGCAAAACGACAAGAGCTTGCTGATTTGCGTGCTAAATTCCAAGCCGATCAAGAAAAGATTAAAGAACTCAAAGCGAACCGAAACTTTAAGCCATTCTAGTGGCTTGCACTGTACAATAACCAACACCACAGCATGAATATATAGATTGTATGATATACCTGAAATAATTATGTCTAAACAAAGGCACCATCATGCAGCTTGACCCAAGCGTGCAAAAGTATCGTTCATTGCTTTACGGATAGCTTCGGTAACCTGTTCGACAGATTGCTCGGAATCCACTTCTACAACACGATCTTGCTTGCGGTAGTACTCCACAACGGGCATGCTAGTATCAACAAATGTTTGGAAGCGTTTCTTGATACTTTCTTCGTTATCATCTGTACGTCCACTAGTCTTTCCACGTTCCAATAAACGTTCCAACATAACCTTTTCGCTACACTGCAAAAAGAGAACGAATCTTGAAAGGCAAACAGTTTCATCAAAGATGATTGCTTGATCCATTTTACGTGGGAAACCATCGATCAAGAAACGACCTTTACCATCTGTCCATTTGGACTTGTGTTGTTGTGGAACATCATGTCCGGACAAAGTTTTTCCTTGAGCATCAATAGCTTGTTTCATTGCATTACGTAAAAGTGCAATGGTGATCTCTTGTGGTACGATCTTACCTTCTTTAATATGATCGGCAATCAATTGACCATATTCTGAACCTTCACGTTTTTGTTCGGCACGTAAGAGATCGCCTGCACTCAAATGAACGAAACCATAATCGTTTACCAAACGTTCACATTGTGTTCCTTTACCTGCTCCAGGTCCACCCAACACAAAGACAACAGTAACTTTTTCTTGAGAGAATGTAGGAGATTTCGACATCTTGGCGTTGTTAAGAAACGGTTGGATTCCGAACAGGTTTCAAAGGATCGGGATGTGGGATACGTTTTTCTCTTTTATGTTTTTCGGGATCGTTTGCACGTTTTGTAACTACGTATGCGAATGAACCAAAACCTAAAATTGCAATTGCGGCAAATGCTATTGGATTAGGTGTTGTTCGAGGTGGTTTTGACGTCATTCAGTGTTTGAGAAGGGATGAAAGAAAGGGAATTATATACTTTACGTTTCTCTCACAAGAAGATCATTCCTTGTTTGGGTCAATGCACACATCCACACTCACACTCTGCTCTGGGCGCCAGGCGCTACAGTCTCCTCTTTCCGCCGCTAAAGGCGCATACATCATTAGCATCACGCCAGCTTTAATTTTAGAGCAATCTTCTTTCTTCCAACGACTTTTGAAGAACCAATCATGAGTGACGTAAAGACAATCAAAAGACAGCTGACAATCAAAACTGGCGTTGTAAAACGGTGAGTGATGGGCGGAGGCATAATGGCGGTTATAAGACACAAAAGGGCTGACATGGACACCTATTCCAGTCTGGTAAAGGAGGAAAAATCATACGAAAAAGAGGCAAAAGAACAAGAAGAAAGGGTAGCCAAATATGAATCAGAAGGAAAGGAATCGTGGGAGATTTCACAACAGAAAAAGGTGCTACAAGATTGCAGGCAGATGATACCTGATTGTCAAAAACGTCTACAGTCAGCCGTTGAAGATTTACAAGGCATTCTTGAGGGATTGGAGGGCGAAGAATTGACTTCATCTGATGAAGCAAAGGCAGCCAAAGAGGCTTTAAACTCAGCATCGACGTCAACCTCTTAATATCGCCGAACAGGCAAAGCGGAGTCACACGTCTCAACCTTAATTTTGGCATTCAGCCTAACAAACTCCCGCCATTGCGATCAATTTCTATCTTGTTCTATTTCCGGGTATATTAAAAGTACAGTATGATTACAATGTGATACCTACGCAACTTCCCATCATTCCTATACTCCACCAAGGTGCTCCTATGATTAGTACGCAAAGTATGATTCCCAACACATAACTTCCCAAAAGATAGCCAAACGCTCTCCGACGAGGCTTGATATTGTCCAATTCGACTGCAAACGTGCTGATCGTGGACAGACAACCACAAAAGCCTTCTTGAACACCATAAAGAGCATGGCATCCTTCAACTGTATGCACGCCTCCACCACCTACTCCGGTCACTCGACCCACATTTTGTCCGACAAAAGCAGCAGCCAAAACTGCAGTTGCAATCAAATTGGCCGAAAGTGTACCGATAGGCCAATATGGCTTTCTCTTGCTGATGGGATATGAATTGAATCTTGACAGGTACCATCGTATAATTGCACCTGGTGGCGATAGAACTACGGCGTAAGTGACATGTCGAAAAGGTTCATATGTGCCACATAAAACAGCCGAAGCAGCCCAAAATATTATGCCCAACAAGATGCAGAATAGATCCGGTCCTCTTGTGTATGGGACTTGTGAATCAGCATGAATTTGTCTCGGCTTTGGCTCACCGTTTGCATGGCCGTTGACTTGTTTGTCGGTCCGTCTTGGTGCTATAGAGTGCTGAAATCGCTCAAAGAGTACGAGAACCGGCTTGGCAGGTAAGATCGATGCTAATGCTCTTCCGGCATATAGTGAGATGAGTGACATTCCAATAGTTGCGCCGGTTTGGGTTAAAGCATCCATTACGTTGTGTAATCCATGTCTGTTGTAGTGCTTTTGATTACCATAAGCCTGAAAGACGTGCAAGATCCAAGATGAAAACGTAGTTACACTTCCACAAAATCCCGTTCCGATAGCAATGAATGCGGGAGGATACCATTTCTCTAAATCTTCTTTATTTGCCACATTCCAGCCCATCACTAAACAACCTACTGCTTGTGCCCATATTGTAGGTTCGATACTCATACCAGAGTATGTATTCAATGCAATCAAACCTTCACGAGCCAATAAACCCCAAATTGATGAAAACATTAACAATCCTAAAATTGCAAAATGACGTAATAATCTTTCAAAAAAGGAAGAAGGACCACTTGATTTGAGTATGATACTTGGTTCCAACTGTTCACCGGCCTCTTGATCGGGTTCACCACGACTTTCATCGTGACTGGCTTGCATGTTTTGTTTGTGATGAAGGAGAGAGGTCGGAGTTGAAGTTCCCGTTGTAGAAACGCGTACTCGTTTAAAAATAAAAAGGTGTTAATCAAGATAAGCTGCTGCATACATCGGAAAAGGGAAGTCTTTTGCAAACATACTGATCAGCGATCATCTCTGTGTAACTCTTGGCAACGATTGTAACTATGTCGGCCAAATTCAAATCAACAAGAAAGAAGCCAGAAGTGCAGGCAGAAGTTGATGATTGGGATGTATCTGAAGAAGAAGTTGAAAGTGGTGCATCATCACAACCACAATATCACAAAAAAGTATATCAAGATGCATGGGGAGATGAAATGACAGATTCCACAGAGCGACCAAAAGTGGAAGGAAGAACGTTATGGGAAGAAGCGTGAGTAGCTGATCGGTTATGTGAAAAGTGTATCTCACTAACTTATACCACAATTCTGTCATTCAGTAATCGTCAAACTCCACAAGCCCAACCGATCGTACAGAATCGTAGTTTACCAGCCAGCTTGTTGGCACCCGGACTATCAAGCACATCTTCCACATCTTCAGGGAGATCGAATGGCACTGCTCATGACGAATACGTTTCAAGACCACCACCGCAAATTTTACGTAGAGATAAAAGTGCCGAACAAGCGGCAGAACAAGCTGCTGCAATTGCGGCTGCCAATGCTGCTAAACAAAAAAAATCTTTGGCTGAACGAGAAGAAGAATATAAACGTGCAAGAGAACGTATTTTTGGTGTTGGTAAGAGTGCTTCACCTTCGCAGAGTAAGAGTGGAAGTGGAAGTGATACGGGTGGTAGAAATAGTCCAAACATACCTGTAAAAGGTAAGAAGGTTCGGTAGCAAGCAAAGATGGAATGCATTATATTTATACAAAAGTTTTGTTATATTGTAGTTGTATTGGTACATTGTTATATTGCAACATCAAGAAGAGGCAGACATGCGTGATTGTCGTTCCTCTAATTCGATTCTGCGTTCTGCATTAAGTTGTCTGCTCAAAATTTCCATCCAAGCAGCCGCATCTCCACGCTCAACGGCTTCATCAAGTTGTTTGACAGCCTCTCCAACGGGCAAAGGTGCATCTCCGTTTCTATCAGAATCACCGGTACGCAATCTCGAATCGGAATAAGCGTCTGCCGTATCTATATCGCTTGCTTTATCATGACTACGGATTGCGCCTTCCAAACTTTGTCGAGCTGATTGTCCGATCTTATCAAAAACGGCATTCTTACGTTCACTTGCAGGTACGATTGACGTTAACTTTTCGATCAATTCGTCCATATTTTTTACGTGCAATACCCTACAAGCGATCTCTATCGAAACCCAAGTTGCAATTCCTACGATTCCAGTCGCTATTCCGATTGCCTTGATCGCCATCACGACCGGTGATTCGCCGATTGGAACTTTGACTTGAGGTATCTGATCTTGTGCAATTGGTTTCTTCCCCTGCTCCACTTCCGGCTTTGGTTTTGATCGCATCAGTACTGATGGTGGGGGAGCAGAACTATTTGAGTCAAAGACTGGTGGGGGAGCAGAACTATTTGAGTCAAAGACTGATTCCTGTACATTCTTTCCTCGAAGAGACGTCTGTTCATTCGTACTTCTTCTTAAAGCAGATGGTCCTGCTAAAGAAGAAGTATCTTCCACATGCTGTAAATCTTGCTTTTTGAAAATTGAACGATTCATTTCGCCAAACAAAGCAAATACTCCTTTCGAAGAAGCATTTCCCAGCGGACTTTCATCCTTTATCCTTTTTTGTGTAAGCTGAGAATTTTGCAATGGTCTGCTTATCGTTTGCATATCCTCCATCTTCATCTTTCTTCCTCTCCGTATCGTTACAACAGCTGCTATCCCTAATCCTGAAGCAAATGCGATCGCTGACAATGTTGTAAAGTATGATTGTCTTGAGGGTAGCTTAAAGGAGGATGAAGAGCCAGCCTCATCTTTGGCCGGCTCCGACATGTTTTATTGTATGATTGATGAGGACGAGAAGTTTTATTTTTATTTTATTTTTCGGAAAACCGTTGAAATATAATATTACTACGCGCGCTCAAGCCATGTATGCGAAGAAATAATATTTGATGATTATCCGACATGATTGATTATGATCCTTTAATTCCTTCATATAACTTACTCGGTATGATCGTAAGACATGCTGCTAGACGTTGCCAGGCGTGGAAAACAGGATACATACATGCAAGACCCATACAAACAACATCTAGGCTACTAGCAGAAGAACAGAAAAACGGTACGACAACAGATGAACAGAAGAATGGTACGACAGCAAAGGAACAGAAGAACGATACGACAACAAGCCTATTTGGAGAAGAATTTGGTACGAAATCAGGACAGATAAAGCATCGAACACAGTACAATCCAGATCCATTCTCTTTAAAACCAAGTTCAGATCATTATGAGTACCCGTTGGTGAATGAGCAATGGCTTGCCAAACAAACAAAACGGCCAAAATCAGTTCGAATGTTGGCAAGAGACTTCATTCATGATTCATTGTACAATCCGACGTATGGCTACTTTTCAAGACATGCGGTCTTATTGCCAGACGGACAAAAACATCAAAGAGCATATGAATTTCCCGCTTTGGCAAACGAACGTGCATTCATGGTGGCGGTAGAAGAACGTTATTCCAAATTTGAGAATAGCATTCAAGCTCAAGATCAAAAAGCAGCAAAAGAGACGAAAGATCGAGTGGATTCAAAGGTGAAAGAAGTCTTGAGTCCATTATTGAAGAAGAACAAAAATAAGACTAAAGAAGCAGATGACTCAACTTCCGCCTCGCCAAAGTCTAAATCAAGAGTAGTTCCTTTGCCGGGATCAGCACAGGCCTTAGATGCAGCACAACGTAAAGGCAGGATGGATTTAGCACGTCAATTACTGAACGAAAAAGAGACTGATGATCATGATCGGGATGTGAAGGCAATGGCAGCTCGTCAGGTGTGGCATACACCAACGGAACTGTTCAAGCCGCACTTTGCCCATGCGATAGCACGTTATATGATCGAAGAGAAGGTAGAGGGAACACCACTTTGTGTTTACGAAGTTGGCGCCGGTTCAGGTGCTTTGGCAAGTGATATCTTGGACTTTGTCGAGTCACAGCATCCTGATTTGTACAAGGAGATGACATATCATATCATCGAGATTTCACCTAGGCTGGCCGATCAGCAAAAGAGTACGATCGCCAAGCATATCGCCAATGCACCTGATCGCATCAAAGTAACAAACAAGAGCGTGCTAGACTGGCAAGAAGAAGAAAACAAAGATTGCTTCTTCTTAGCAATGGAAGTGTTTGACAATCTAACACATGATGTTGTGCGATATGCAACCGACACTCTCTTACCCTATCAAGCAATCGTTTCAATAGATGCTTCAGGTGATATGCATGAGCTATGGGAGCCTGTCCAAGACAAGATTATTCAGAGGTATCTGAGCATGCAAAAAGGCGATTCATCAGCATCAACCTTTGTGCCACCAACTGCACCAACTTGGATGCGAATCACACCAAGTTTCCTGAGAGGAATGCTAGCACGCAACATACCTTTTTATCCAAATTTGACTGAACCCGAGTATATTCCGACAGGCAGTCTACAACTATTGGACATACTCTCGCAAAAGTTCCCAAAGCACAGAATGGTCATGGCCGATTTTGATGCATTACCAGACAGTCTCGTTGGTGTGAATGCTCCTGTTGTACAAACACGTTTGAATGGAACGATGATCGCTGTATCCAAATATACGGTCCATCAAGGCTTCTTTGACATCTTTTTCCCAACAAATTTCAAAGATCTCAAGCAAACGCATGATCATGTCATGAACAAGACGGATAAGAAGCAAATCGTAAGTCATCGTCAATTCTTGCAAAGGTACGCCGATCTTCCTCAAACGACATGCAAGGATGGCAGTAATCCGATGTTATCGTGGTATGCAAACGCAAGCTGGTTCCTTTCGTAGGGTTGTATGTGAATGTACTTTTATTATAATATTGTCTACAAATACAAAATTGATTGCTTAATCTCACTTCAATTGCTTTTTCTTGGTACGTGAAGTGCACTCCAAACACCACGAGCGGATTCTTCTGATCCAGCAACGATTGGACGATTTTTGAGATGGATATGTTTCTTTCCGCTTTGATCAAGAACCAATTTGATCTTTTTAGCAACTTCTCCTATTCCCATATTACGTAGTGAAATACCCTTTTCCTTTCCATTAACTGTGATTGAGTGGAAATTAAAATGTCAGCAATGCATGCAAACAAACCTAAGACACAAATCACACTCACCGTAAAATGCTCTTAGCATTGGATGTCTGTTAGGCTTCTCTTGTAGCACAACTTCTACATTTGGCCATTGTTCTGCGATTTGTGTTAATCTACCCGCTCTGGCAAAATCCATAGCTCCTTTCGAACTTGGCCAATCGTCATTATATTCCAATACAATTTTACGACAAGGTAATGTGAATCCTGCCAAGCCTGAAGGACCAGGAGAAGAACGTAAGCTTCCCCTCAGTATTTGTGTAGTAAGTTTTGACGTCATGTCTTGTGTGTGTGCTGGAAGTGATGGTGATGATTACAATCGAGATGAGAAGATTGGATTTGGCTTGGACATTTTTCTCATCATCACGTGCTCGTTCAATCGTCTCGCTGAAGGATCGCCATCACTCATACTGTCTGTCACTGTACGCGTCGCGCTTTTAAGCCCGCACACACGCTCGCACACGCGCTGAGCACTGTCCATTTCTATTAAACAAAAGTGTTGGCCGGATTAAGCTCAAATGGATGCACATTCTGATGATTGAATGATTGATGCATTCAACCATCACTTTGCAACAAACATCTTTTACTCGAAATGGCTTTCCGATCAGCCCTTCGTACAGCTTTACCACAAAACGTTAGCCGATCATTTTCCACTTCGGCCGTTCAAAATGATATCGCACGAATGCAATTATTAGGTCGTTTGGTTGCTGATCCTGAACAACGTACTACCAGAACGGGAAAAGATTATGTTAAATATACAGTTGCAACAACAGATCCGTTAGGACCACCAAATGAATCAGGAGAACGTGGAGAACCAACTTCTTCTTTTCATTCAATCTTTGCTTTTGGTGAAGGACCTGTTTCACGTTTAACAAAATTAACAAAAGGAACCCAAGTTTTAGTGGATGCTGATTTCAAAGTACAATATGAACCTTCTGAATCCGGCGGTGGTCAAACAAATTATCTCGTTCAACATCGTTCTTTGACTGTCGTTTCACGTCCAAAGCCTGCCGGTGAAGCGTAAGATAAATAATACTACTTCTTGCTGTACTGCCTTCTTACTATTAAATGGAAATTGTCCAATCACCACTCAAATAATTATATATAACAGATGATCATAGCAGATTCAATTCAGATGAACATACATTAAGTGAGGACGCATTCAGTTACCCTTCTTCTTCTCGTTTGCCCTATCACGTAAAGCACCGAAGAATGGTTTACCAGAGTTCTTCCACCAGATGAAACCGTTCAAAGCAGTTGCATAAGCACTCCAAGCCAAATAAGGAACGGTAAGAATTGCTGCACGTTCATCGACATCCTTTAATGTCCAACCCCAAACGGCAATCGTTCCCAAAAGAGCGCTCAAATTTGCAAAAGAGATCGTAATTTGACCTGCACCAAAGAATAACGGAGTCCATAATTGATTAAGAGCAAGTTGAGCATAATACAATTTTAATGCGTTCATCGCTCTTGTTCTACCTAAACCTGGTGGAGTACGATCTAAAGCTTTAACAGTTAGGTGACTGCTAACTCCCATTGCGATATAAAGCAACGGCCAAACGACTCCAAATGCCCAACGTGGCGGTTCCCATTTTGGTCGTGCCAAAGATTTATACCATAATGATTCGGGTGATTTTGATGATGTTCGGGTAACCAATCCGGTTGCAACGCCTAAAGTTACGGGAATACCAACTGCCAAGAATGGATTACGTGGTATATCTACCAAAAGAGGTGGAAGTGAGGCAGACATGTTGTTGTTGTGAGTTGGAAGATGATTGTTGTGATCCACCAATTGAACGATGATAGATGATAGATGAATATTAATAATGCTTGTGAACCGAGTGCCCCAGCGTATACATCCACCCACACACGCACGCACGATGACGCTCAAACGATAAGCCTGTGTATGTATGCAGGGGCGCCTAAATAAAGAGTACGCACGCACAAGGCATGCCTTATACGCGATAGAATCGTATAGATTGCATTCAACGTCCGCAAAACAGAGAAATATACTCAAAGACTACCAGTCAAACAAAAGATGTGATACGTGCTGATTATATTGCCATAAAAGTATGGGCCAAAAGATCCGTGACTGGGAAATAAAGCAAAAAAGAGAGAAAAAAGAGGTATGAGAAACAAGGTTATATGGTACTAGACCAAAGAGAGGAGGTGAATGAAAAAAGCAAAGAACCCATTTCACAGAAAAGGAGCAAAAAAAAGAGTGGCAACAAAAGTACAAATTGATGAAGTCTAAAATGAAGTTAGCATAACTCGCCTACCCTCTCCCTCAAACGAATGAAAGAGTGACGGCCAAGAAACTTGCAACGGCCAGCGTTACGGTGATTTGTACTTTAGCATTGCTCAAAGCACCTCCAACTTCAGCAAATGCAGTCGTTCCTGCTTTTTGATTAATGGTTGTAGTGAAATCTTTTCCGCATGTTGCTTGCATTGCTTTATAAAGTGCAGATTGTCCTTTCAATTGATCAGAGTTGGACAATCCGATCGCATATGGAATCGAAGTTTCAAAGGTGATATATGCTGCCATGATGTTCTTACTGCAACTTGAACATAACAAGTTCTTTTCACTGGTCGGTTGTAAGAACAGATATGCAATGTTGGATTGACTTGCTGCTCCTGAATCAATGCTTTCCGCAGTTTCTGAAGCATCTTGTCTCTCGAGTAGTTGAGGCATCAACATGGCATCATCGGTGAGCAGAGATCGTTTGGATGTGGTGGCTTGTTTGGCAGCAGTACTGTTTGCGATCGAAAGAATGCAAAAGTTGTTGTTATCATCAGTCGTGCAAACGGCATCGTGGAAAGGGTTGATGAGGTATAAAACGTCATAAAGTGCAATGACTTGTTCATTTTTGCTTTTCAATTCTGTTCCACATGCGTTCCAGAATTTACTCAAGTTAGAACGAATCGTACTTGGTTGACAACCTGTAGTGTTTGCACACAATTGTCCTAAACTGTTCTTGAGTGCACTTGCTGAATCTGTCACGTTTGATGTAGCTGCTTTATTTCCTTTTGCTACCGTTGTTGCGTTTGCGTAATACTGTGTGGCTGACAACAAAGGTGCGGTGCAGGCTTGAAGGGTTGCATCACTATTGAGTGAGTTTAAGAAATCAGAGCAACCAGAACTGATACCTGTTGGAATTAGACTGGATGTTGATGCTGAAGCTGAAGCAGACGAAGAAGGTGTCGCTGAACTTTGCGCGAATGTGGTAGAGGCGAATCCCACAAGTCCAATCAGAGCAATTGATGTTAGCCGCATTTTGTGTGTTTGTGTTTGTGTGTGTATGCTGTTTGTGCTGTGACTTTTGTTTACTGAGTAGCGAGAGTGAATATAGTCGATCTAGACAAAGTTGAAAAAAATGAACGTAAACGATTGTTATGGTGATGATTGTGTATCTCTCAAAAGGATTACAGCCACACCTTGAATGAAAGAGGGTGAATGATTAGGTGACGGAGTAAACGGAGCCGGATGAAGTCGAGGAGGATAATAAAGAGAATAATGAAGAAGAGAGAAAAACCGTGATGATCAGAACAGGGGGGCGGGCAAAAAAGACAACAACTGGACAAGGCGGGCGTAGGCGTACAAAGGCGAAAAGAGAACCACATGATGAAAAATCCAAAAGGCGCGTCACGCTTAAACTTCAACTCCAATTCAATTTTCGATCTATAGGCGGGCAGCCGGCCAGGCGCAAACACAGCGGTCTACCGCTCAAACAAGGCAAGAATTCACAGTGTTTCCTTTGTGGGTTTGAATGAATCGAAAAGGAAAGGCGCGTCGTTATGCATGCAAGCACTTTGACTACACGTACGCTAAACATACCAAACATGCATAAACGGCATAATGCCATTGTTCTTCTTATTGGCTTGTTACGCTCCGCTTTGCATATTTCTGTGCGTTTGTGCATCTGCATTTATGGAACAAAGAACAGTGATGAGATGCATTCAATTAAATCAGAAGAAGGAAAGAATGTTCTTACGCCCTCAGTATCACGCCAAAATCCGGCTTGCTAGTCAGTGTCGCCCTGGGCTGTAGAATGCTAAACTTTTCTGTAGATAGAGAAAGGTGCTGCTTATGTAAGTTTCTTTCTCTTCTCAGCCGCTTATATAAGTACGCACCTTTAGCCGCGGTCTACACGGTGGATTGGTCTGACGCCGGATAAAAGTTTAAGAAACGTTCTTCCGCCACTCTCCACCCAAAGGCATAAGACCAGTATTCGACATACAATTGTCAATACCCCATACTTTGTCGTAAGCCATGAGCCTGCTTAAAAGGACACTCGGCACCTCTATACTTGACAGAGTGGGGTATAAGACGATTGTATAAATAATGAGCTGTGGTGCAGAATGATTCAGTGTTACGCCCTTTCTTCACCACCTCAACAACGATGACACAAATGCCAACTTTATCCATCTTTACGGCCAGCGTCGGCTTTCACACTGCTGGTCATACACTTCCATCCAAATTACGATCAATCGCGAATGCAGGATTCGAAGCTGTTGAAATATTTCAAGATGATTTAGATGCTTTTGCAGCAAGTGATGAATTCGCAATCATTTACAAAGCTCTTACACCTCCTTCCAGTCCACAATACGGTAAACGAGTATTACACGATAATGAAATCGCTTCCACTTCTTCAACGACATTATCAAACGAAACTGTCACACAAGAAAAGACAGCTTGGAATGCACACGGTCCATGTACTCCATTTGAAGCACAACGTGAGATCGTTTGCGCAAGTTATATTCGTGGCATTTGTGCTTCTTTAGGTTTACAAATCTTATCTTTACAGCCAATGCGTGACGTTGAAGGATGGAAAGATTCACAAAAACGCAAACATGCAATCGAACGTGTTCGATCAAGGTTTGCAGTCATGCGTGCGCTAGGAACGGATTTGCTTTTGTGTTGCTCGAATTGTCAACCAGAGGATCAAATCACAAATGATATCGATCAGTGTGCGGAAGATTTCGCTATCCTTGCTGATGAAGCAGCACGATTTGAAACGACAATCACACCAATGCTCAATGAAAACACAATCATCGCACCACAACAACAATCAACCAAACCACTTAGAATCGCATTCGAAGGTTTAAGTTGGGGAACATATATTGACAGATGGGATCAAGCTTATGCGATTGTTGAAAAAGTTGATCGAAAGAACTTTGGCTTATGCTTTGATAGTTTCAATACACTTGGACGTCAATTTGCTGATCCATGCAGTCCAAGCGGTATTCAAGAACCAATCGCAGAAACTGAAAAGGCGTTAAAGGCCTCTCTTGAAGCTATTCCCGTTAAAGTTCCAGCCGAAAAGGTTTTCTTCCTTCAAGTCGGTGATGCACGAAAGATGCAAGTTCCACTTGAACCTTCTCCTAATCCAAACGAACCACGTCCTGCACGTATGATTTGGAGTAGAGGTAACCGATTATATCCAGGAGAGTTTGACCGTGGTGCTTTTATGCCTACTTTGGATTTCGTTAAAGCAGTTCATTCTACCGGTTATAAGGGTCCTTGGTCTATTGAAGTCTTTAACTCTTCCCTCCATGAGCCTGGGCAAGAAGTGCAAAAAGAACATGCAGAACGTGGTCACAAAGGGTTGGTTTGGCTCATCAATCAAGTCATTACAGCTTGAGATATCATTTGTAAAAGTAGTCACATACATATCAAACAATTCATAATGTACATTTGCAATCAGACCTTCCTTCTGTGTTTCTCGTTAGGGTTCCTTCTTCCAACACCAATCTGTGGTAAACCTTGGTAGCCCTGTCCGCTCGTCTTGCCTGCTAACAAGATACTCAACGTGTCCGCATCTTCGTATCGTGCACTCAACGAATCACTTCCACGTTCCAATGCTTTTTGTAATGCACGCTCTTCTTTGTTCTTTTGTACTTTCTCACGTTGTAAGGCTTTTTGCCATTCAGCTTGATCTTCACGCAAGATTGGTACGCTTGCTTGAACACCTCCAGCTTTTCCAGGTTTGGGTAAAGGTAGAGAAAACTTTGTTCCACGATTCTTGTATTGGAAGTTCTTTTTGAGATGGATTTGCATTCCTGCTTCTTTTCCCAATTGTGGATCGGTTGAAGTTACACTCGTACGTAACAGTGTAGGATTTCCACATTGCGGACAAAACTTTCTCTCTGAATCTTTGCAGATCTTAAAGCATGCATGACAACGTAAGACCCAAGATTTCACTTGTCTGATCCTGGTTCCTTCCAATCCTACCAGACTTAGTCCCATTTGTAACAACACATTTTGCACTGCATAATCTCCTGTCATACAGGCAACCGTCATCCGTGCAGGAGGTTTGTTGGCAGACTTTTTGCCGCCAGCAACCTTTGCACTGGCATGTGCAGGCTTCTGAACGGTATTCTTGGATGTTACCGTTGACCATCCATCATCTGCTTCTGTGACTGTTGTACGCATTCTGCCATTAGATCGAGTCTTGTTTGCGCCTTGTAACAGCGACAAATCAGAATCTGACACTAATCCTAATGCTCTGCTCTTGTGCTTGTCGATGTTATCCGGTGTGATCCATTCACCTCCTGTCTCTTCATCATCTTCGTCATCGTTTAGAGCTTCTTCTTCTGAATTGTGTGGTTCTGCTGCCTCTTCGAGTGCGGATGAATGGGCTTCATCCGCTATCGACGTTGATGCCAATGTTGATTCCATGGCTTGAATTTCAGCATCCGTCGAAGCTCCGAGGGGCTTGCTTGCAGTATTTTCTCTATTGCCACCCTCTTCTTCCAGCCTTTTTGCTATGCTCTCACTATGTTTCTCTTCTGGTGGGTCCACTATCCGCTTCTCCATCTTTTGCTCCATCTTTTGCTTTTGATTGCCTTCATTCTTTCCTTTAGATCCAGCATTCTGCTCTTTCTGCTGCTGTGTTTGCTTTTGTTGACCAGTCAAACCACCAAGGGTATCCCTGATCCTCCATTGTCCATGCTTTTGTACCTCTAAAGCATACGTTAATGCTAAAACGCTTAAATCCGGTTGAGACAAAACCGCATAATCACCAGTTTGTTTTGCAAATCCCATCACCGCCATCTTTGCTTCTGCACTTGGCTCGCGTATCTCGACTGTAAAGCCTCCTTGACCTGCATTACTTTGATCTTGTAATCGTTGGAAATGATCTCTTGCTTGTTTATCACGTAATTCTGCTACAACTGCAGAAGGAACGTAAAACTTCTTTGCTAATCCAACTAATCTTTGTTGCGTCACCAAAGGACCTGCATCTAAGATCAATTCATCGATTTGAGGAACGACGGAAGTACTTCCTTCCGCTATATCAGTCATCTTGAAAGGTGGGAATGGCAGGAAAGAAGAATAAGATGAAGATGCACTCACTAATCAGACTTCTTCCAAAAAAAATTTTGCACGTGCTTGCAGGACAAAATTTTTGGGCAGATTATCTGTGTTCTGCACAAAAGAAATATTTAAAATTTTAGATTTTATGAAATAAAGTTGAGAAGTTGTGGAGCGGTGAATGGCCATCATCTTTGCCATCACCATCCAACAAAAATGAAGATCAAAGCTCTGACAAGGTCTTTGGATGCCCATACGGCAGTCAGGAAAGGCGATGCTCCTAATGAATCACACAATCTAGACCCATCTCTCCATCCTTTTAGCAAATCAAGAGAATATACCCGTGCCGTCAATGCGGCCAAATTGGATCGAATGCATGCTAAGCCTTTCGTAGCAGCATTGGAAGGGCACGTTGATGGAGTATATTGCTTAGTAAAAGACCCGAACAGGCTAGGAGTGATTGGAAGTGGAAGTGGAGATGGAGAAATTCGATTATGGGATATGCCCACGCAAACATTAATGACAGCATATCCTAGGGCACATCATGGAATCATTTCATCACTCGTTATCTCACCTCTCAATTTTGCGCAACAATACGCAGCTGAAGGATCGACAGCTGATTCAAGCTCAAGAAGCGGCGGTAGAAGGCTTTTGAGTTGCAGTACAGATCGTACTATCAAACTTTGGGACGCCGATCCAAGACGAGATAGATTCGGTCCTGGATTCGGAGATGACAGTGATGAGGAAGAGGATTCTCGTCAACAAGAGAGAGCAGGAATTACTGGAGGCGGAATATTGGGTGGAAGCGATCCATGGACACAACAAAGCACAACACCCAGCACCGACCCTTTACAGACTTGGCATTGCAAAACTGCAATCAATTCTATATCACATCATGCTTCTGATCCAGTATTCGCTTCAGGATCTACTGCAGTACAAGTTTGGGATATAACAAGAGGTGGAAATGGTAGCAGCTCGGGAGGCGGTGCATTGCGAGAGATGACTTGGGGAGCGGAAAGTATCAATGTGGTTCGATTCAATCCAAGCGAAAAAGAAGTCCTAGCAGGAGCTGGAAGCGATCGTGGAATTGTTCTGTACGATCTGCGTAGTGGCAAACCCTTAACGAGAACTGTTATGAAAATGCGAGCAAATGATCTAGCTTGGTCACCTATCGAGCCAACAGTATTTGCCGTTGCATCAGAAGATCACAACATGTACACGTTTGACATGCGAAATATGACAAATGCTTTGCAGATCTACAAAGATCACGTTTCCGCAGTCATGTCAGTCGATTGGAGTCCCACAGGTCAAGATTTGGTCACAGGATCATACGATCGAACGGTTCGTCTTTGGAATACAGGAAAAGGAAATCATTCTCGTGATACATATCATACTTCACGTATGCAACGTGTATTTGCTGCAGCCTATACACTTGATGCCCGTTTCGTTTGTTCGGCAAGCGATGATGGTAACGTCCGTCTTTGGAAATCTCGTGCAAGTGAAAAGTTGGGCATTCAGTCTGGCAAAGAACGTGCTCAACGTGAATATAGACAACAATTGGTCAATAGATGGCGTAATGTGGGAGACATTGGCAAGATTGATCGTCAACGCAGGGTACCTAAAGCAATCAAGACTGCCCAAAAGCTCAAGCATACCATGTTGGAAGCCGAACGTACAAAAGAGGACAGAAGACGGAAGCACTCCAAAGCAGGTCAAAGCAAGCCAAAAGCAGCAAGAAAGGATACCATCTTGGCCCAGCAGGAATAGAGTTGGTCTTAGGTGGTGGATCGATATACTCATTGTATTTTTACACATGCATTCACTCAATCTATACGTATCTATTGAAATCATACACTAGCCCAACAAAGGTTCTGTTTCTTGTGGACTTTGTTCCTCGTCCTCATCTTCTTCAGAGACAGCTTTGTTGCCATACAATACGTAATGCTGAAACAGAAGGATTGCATCGAAAAAGAGCGAAATGAAAGAAAGTCCTAATTTGCCCGGATCACCTGTAACGTCTGACCAATCATGATTGATGATTTGTGCATCAATAACAAGTTGTAAAAGACTGAACAATCCACCAAACACATCTAGCGTGATGCCTTCAATAGCGAAGCCGCGAGTTGACTTTCGAGAGAAATTGAGAAGGATTTGAGGCTGTAAGTTGGAGAAAGCGAAGGGTAAGCAGGATGCAAAAGATGTGATTGTGCATATATTCGACACTCACTGAATATTTGATCAAGGTGATGAACAGCTTGATGTACGAGCATATATTGATGAAATCGATCCAGCGTAAGATATAATCATCATCACCGCCACCGATGACACAAGTGGTCAAAGTGAGCAGAAAGATTGAGATCAAGATCCCGAGTGTGATCTTACACCAAAGTGATACTTTTTGACCTGGTGCACGCTTATAGATGCGTGTAATAACCAATTGCCAAGAAGTGATCAAGACAGCATGAATGGCAAAGAATGCATCATTCCAACGAACCAAGTTCTCTTGTCCATGATGTGTGTTTCGGTATTGCTGTTGAACTTTTTCAGAAACCAAGAAAGCCAGATTGAAGATCGAATAACAAACGAATCCAAACGCATTCAATGAGATGAAATCCAACGAGATCCCTGCAACACTCTTTCTACGATACATCAATAATGCTTGAGGCCAAAAACTTGCGGTCCAAGCGGCAAAGTATAACCATCCTAATAAACGCGATAAAGCAGTTGCAAAAACGATGCCTTGATCTGGGCTTGCTGGATTGCTACTACCACCCAGATAGATTCTGGAAGCCATGATGAACGGTGATGACATCTTGAAGCAGGTCGTGTGGATGGGCGTAATGAGAAGAGACAACCCCTTTTACTTTCCTGACATTCCAGACGGGCCGTCGAATTTTGAGGAGGAGGTTGGTCTGGAAGGGTGGAGCTATCCCGAGTCACACTGGTTTAGCGCCTTTTAGCCCTCGGCGCCTTATCTTTCTCGGCATTTTTCTGCTACGGACATAGATGTTGGGATATGACGTATACGGTACGCCTGGCACGTGTACAGGCGTCACTTGCCGTATCACGCCGTATCACGCCTTAACGCCTGTTCCGCCACAAAGGCTGACGAACCACAGTCTTGGTGCCCATAATTAGCCCATTTGTCAATTATAAATAGTCTCATATCACATGTAAATTCTACCCACCTTTCTCTACCTCACAAATTTATTATTATTATTCAGAAAGCAGTGCCTGGAGACTACAAAACGTAACAATAGAATTATCTCATCAAGTTGGTTGCTGCCATCTTACTTACCTTTCAATTTCAGAGAGCTGATCATCTGTGCAGCACTGAAATTAGCCACGTAGCCAATTTGCTCTTATACACCAACACACTCTGGATTACATCTTGGAAAACATGGCAGTCCAGAAGCTGCTCGGATGAGGATTCTTAATTCATGCAGATCATTATGGTGTCTATTTGTACAAATTGCATATGTGTGAATAAAGGTCAAGGAGTTTGTATGATGGATTGCATCTTTTAAATCCTCTTGACAGCGGCACCACTGAAATCGAAAATGCTAAGGATAGCAAAGGAACTGTAAAGCAGTCCAAGCGGATAAGCGATCAAAAATCTTTGCTCGCTCAATCCTAGAATACTGACAAATATACCCGAAGCACTTGAAGAACACCATAGGATAAAGATCGGAGCTGCAACGTATCCAAGGTACCCATCAAGGGTAACAAAGATTGAAATAAAGCTCAATAATGTCAAGGGCAAAATGCAATATCCCAACACACTTGCAACACGATAAGCATCTATGCCTTTGTCCGACATCATGTTCAGCAAAAGGTAGATGGAGAAATCTCCGATTAAAGCAACTCCATAAATGTATCCAAATTGCGATTTGCCGGCTAAAAGCAACATCATTCCGAATGCAAAACAGAACAATAAAGGACCTGCAAGATCTGTATCGTCCATCATGTGGGCATCGTGGGCATGATGTGCAGAATAGCTGTGAAGCGGATTGAGCACAGTCAAGCTTTTGTCAAGGATATGTGGTAGATTTACGCCCAATTCCTCCATCAAACTTGGTTCATCGGGAAAACCACCTGTTCCGAATGCGCTCCAAAATCCCATTTGACTGTTCATCAAGCTTCGATCTGCGGCTGAGCTACCGTAACCTCCGCTTGTCATATTGCCTTCTAATGAACTTCTTCCTCCTCCTGATCCCGCTCCTCCTAAACCACCACTTCCTCCATATCCATCATATTGTCCTCCTGATCCGGAGTAGAATTGTAAATTGTTTGCCCCTCCTCCCGAAGAAGATCCTTGACCGCCACCGTAGCCACCTTGTTGTCCGTATGGGTTATGTTGATCAAAGATGGCAGACATCTTGTGTAGGTATGTTTGAGAATGATGATGATGGACGGTCGAGCATACATTGGAAGAAGGAAGCTTGCTTGCCTTGTAGTCTGTGCGCGATTTTAAGCTCACTGGCAATCGAAATGCACGTGGAACCTTCCGTTTTGGACACAGCCCCCGCCTTATTTCATGATTAAAGGCAGTATAGGGCGTGTGTGTGCAAACCATAAGCGGGGATGAAATAGATTATAGAATAGCATGCATTCACTCCACTATAAGAGTAAGGGTATGATAAAGAAAGAATTCAATAATCATCCGGTCTTCCATCTCGTAAGACAAACAACTATACCAAAAGACGGAAATGCCTTCTACAATCTCATCTTCGGATAAGTCCAAGGTGAAATCCAGTCTACCTTCATCTTCGAATAAAATCTTAACGGCAACCGTTGCAAGAGTTTTTGTTGCTTATCCAAATCAATCAATATGGAGTTATACAGGTATCGAAGGAGCATTAGCATTCGTTCGTGATTCTGATCGGAATACCTTTGCACTGAAGCTGGTAGACTTGAAAGCAGCGAAAGGTGGTGTAATTTGGGAACATGAATTATATGAACCTCTATCCTATAATCAAGATCGAACGCATTTTCATACCTTAGAAGGTGATGAACATATGATCGGCTTTGCATTCGCAGACGATGGAGAAGCAGGTGAACTGTACAAAAAGATCTCAAATCGTCAAAAGTTCGCTAAAAGTAGTAGTTCTTCTGCTGCTAAGAAGAAGAATCGTGGTAGTAAACTATTAGGAGGCGGTGGATCATCAAAATCAAATGGAGGAAAGATTGATAAATCAATGATAGGTGCACCCTCTGATTTCAAGCATGTTGCACATATGGGTTATACAGCCGAAAAGGGATTCTCTGCCGAGAATGTTGACCCAAGTTGGAGTGCTTTGTTGGATCAACTATCCAATATGGGTATCAGTAGAGCGGACATCCAAAAGAATGAAGGTTTCATCAAAGACTTTGTCGGAAAGAGAGGAGGCGTACCACCAAAGCCTGCTGCTAGACAACCGGCAGGAGCATCTAAAATCAAAAAGGTACCACCACCAGCGCCAAGCAGAGCAGGAACAACGGCTCGCAAACAACCTCCTCCTCCACCAGCACCACGAACCAGACCAGGAGCAGCAGCGGCAGCGGCAGCGGCACCAGCATCAGCATCTATACCCGCTCCACCACCTCCGCCACCGCCAGCAAGAGGAGGAGCTTCTGCTGTTGCACCGCCGCCCCCACCACCACCTGCTCGAGGAGGAGCGTCAACAGCCGCACCTCCACCACCACCTCCGCCTGCCCGTGGATCTGCAGGTGGTGCTCCCCCTCCTCCGCCTCCACCACCTCCTGGAGGATCACATGCACCACCGCCACCACCCCCTCCAGGAAGAGATCCTGCCTTACCTGCACCTCAATCTGGTCGTGCTGATCTTTTGGCATCTATTCAAGGTCAAGGAGTTCATAATTTACGTAAAGTGGATCCAACGGCAGCAGCAGCGGGAGGGGCAGCGATCGGAGGAGCTGCTGGTTTAGCAGCAGCAGGTGCTTCTGGCGCTTCTGGAACACCGGATGAAGGTAGTGGTGGTGATTCAGGCGCAGATTTAGCAAGTGCTTTAGCAGCCGCACTTTCTCAACGAAAAGAAAATATGGGAGATTCAGATGAAGAAGCCGAAAGTGACGAGGAATGGTGATGAAAGATGTGCTACAATTATAAACTATAAATTGCCCTTCAACGGATTATCCTGAGTACATAATCTAAATTGCATCATTTTTAGGGAAATAGTGTACAAGTGTGAATTTGAAAACTGAAAGACTTATGAGCTGTTGTGTTTATCATTCCAATCGATGAGTTCTTGCATCGTAACTCCTTTTCCACCGAAAATGTCAAGAGCACTACCGAATGTTAAATCTACCTTTCCGTTTGAGAGACGGTCGACAAGATGTAAATCCTGAATATTCCTTGCTCCACCTGCATAGGTCGTTGGAATTGTAATCCATTCTCCCAACTTTTCCACCAGCTGTTCGTCTATTCCTTGACAAAGACCTTCAACATCAGCAGCATGAATCAAGAATTCACTGCAATGATCTGCAAGAAGATCTAAAGATTGTTTATTGACTTCCATATCTGTCATATCTTGCCATCTATTCATTGCAACAATCCATTTCCCGTCTCTTCTCCTACAACTTACGTCTACTACCAATCTATGCTTTCCTACTAGATTTTCCAGCGCTTGCAATCTTTCCATAGAGAATTTGCAATCGGGAAATAGATATGATGTCACAATCACTTTTTCTGCTCCTTTATCGATCCATACTTTGGCATTATCGGATGTGATTCCACCGCCAACTTGCAGTCCGTTGGGCCATGCTTGTACTGCCTCAGTTGCTGCTTCGTCATTACCTGGTCCCAGCTTGATCACATGTGCTCCCGTTAGATTGTGTTCACGATACAAAGAAGCATAATGACCTGCACGAAGGGTAGAGGTAAAGTTTGTCTTTAGTGAAGAGGAAGAAGCGGGATTGATTCCAGATGCATTTAATGCTCTTTCTTGTTGTTCCTTTTGATCTTCGTCACGTAAAGAGCCTCCAACGATTTGCTTTACTACACCTTGATGAAGGTCAATGCAAGGACGAAAGATGCTATGCCTCCTTTGTATTGACATGATTGATGGTGAATGATAGGAAGATATAACTTTAAGAAGGAATGTGTGGAGCTTTAAAGTTGACGCTAAGGCTCATTCAAGCTTGTGCCCTTTCCTATCTTTGCACGTGGGGGCGTGCGAAAAGAAGAATACCTTCAAATTTAACCATCATCATCCTCTTACAACAACCATTGGGACAACAAACCAACCAACAATGGAAGTCAATCGTGCACATTCTAGTGTCATACTGGAAAAGCATGTTCGCGATCGTACAAGTTTACGCACGCTTAGACAATTAGCATTACAATTTCGACGTGAAACAATCAATGGTCCATCAGAAGTAGCCAATGCGACTGCAAAAGCATTAAGGACGGTCGTTAGTGCTGCAAGATTTCAAAATTTGGACGAATTGATTGTGATCATTCGAAGTGCAGGTGCATTTTTGCAAGATTCTCAGCCAAATGAACAAAGTATTGGAAATATTACTAGAAGGATTTTACACCTTTTAAGAGAAGAAGCAAGAGCGGCAAATATTGAGATCACAAATACAGAAACAGGGCTACATGCTCATTCATCATACCATCAGCCTCAGCAGCATCAGCCAACTTCCGGCCTTCCCTCAACTTCACTTGATTCTAGCTTTGACAGAAGTAGCAGCACAGATACCAGTACACCCACAGCATCCACCCATAGCAGATATCCATCAGCAATTTCAGCTTCATCTATCAATCAACAGCTATCAGCTTCTTCTTCTGTTTTGGATGGCAGTCGTGCTTCTACCGCACCCGGATCACCTTCTAGACCAGCTTTAAGCTCTTTTCGTCCTGGCTCGACGTTTTCGATTTCTGATTTGGTAGCAGCAGGTGCAGGTGCTTCTTCCAGTGCGAATGCAAGCTCATTTGCCGTTTCTCCAGCAGGCAGTGGAGCAACAACACCGGCATGGGGTAACTCAAGCTTGGACAGACTTGGCTATGGTGTAGAGAGGCTAAATTTGCATAACGATGGCATTGCGGAAGAGACAAACTCGGAGGAAGATGAAGACGATGACGAAGATGAGGACATTCGTACCGTTCCTGGCAATCAATCGAAAAAGACAGTGACAGAAAATAGTCATGTTAGCATTTATCAATTGAAACCTCTTTTGATTCAAGCAATACAAGAATTGATCGACGAATTGGAGACTGTCAATAGTAATATCGCCAAAGATGCACGCGATCATATCCATTCGGGTGAAGTGATTTTCACAATTGGGTATTCTGAGACTGTAGAAGTCTTTCTCAAAGCAGCTGCTAAAGATCGCAAATTTACAGTCATTGTCGCAGAAGCAGCACCGACTTATAGTGGACATAAACTAGCAAAAGCCTTATCTTCCGCTGGTGTTTCGACCCTCTTGGTTCCTGACAGTTCCACATTTACACTTATGCCAAGAATATCGAAAATATTGATGGGAGCACATTGTATCTTGGCAAACGGAGGATTGTTGGCAATCGCAGGTGCAAGGATGGTAGCCGAAGCAGCTCGTGCTCATTCAACTCCAACGGTAGTTTTGGCAGGCGTCTATAAAGTTTGTCCTGATTGGGCATGGGTCGGAATTGCAACTTCTCTTGTTGATCGATCAGAGATGGCGCATTCCAACATTACAGCTTCAGCAATGGCAGGATCTAGAAAAGGATCTGCAATAAAGGCACATTCGACTGCAACAGGCGTTTCATCAGAAGCGTCTCCTTTGGATGTTATTCCACTCAATGAAGCAGAAGAAGTGGAAGTCGTTAATCCGATTTGGGATTACGTTGACCCGGAAATGATTGATTTATTGATCACAAATGTTGGTGAACATCCGATTTCGTTGGTATACAGATTATTAAGTGAAAATTATGATGCACAAGATCTAATTTTGGCATAGAATTATGGCAAGATGCAATGTAGTACCCACGAGTACAAATTCATATTAATCTTATCTGACATTCATTCTATATCGTCTTGCATGCTGGAGCTGTCACATCAGAAAGGAATACTAAAAGTATCCTAAGAAAAAGGATTATCGGAGGTATCACATCAGTAAGGAATTGCAGAAGTACCGTCACATCAGAAAAGAGCGGTAGACTTATCACTTCAGAAGGGATCGTCAGAAGTGCCATCACACCAGAAAAACCCGGCAGAGGTATCGCATTAGAAAGGAATACCAGAGGAATCATATCAGTAAGGATCGTTCGAGATATCATGTCGGAAAGGATTATTAGAGATGCCACACCAGAAAGAATCGTCAGAGATGCCACACCAGAAAGAATCGTCAGAGATGCCACACCA